TCTCCTTTTCTCGTCAATGAAGCCGTTTCAATTTTTCTTTTTTTTAAGATTTGTTTGAATGTTACAGCAACTAAGCAGCCATTCATTCTTTGTCTTCTTTACTTTCACTATAGTTGTCATACACAAGAAAAAGAGGAAAAAGGGAGAGAGAGAGAGAGTGTGTGTGTGTGTATGTGTTTGAGTGAGAAAAAAAAATCGAGAAATTTGCTTTTTAAATTATATTTTTTTTGGTGGTGTGCAAACGACAAGACAAGAGGAACACACGCAGGTAACCGAATTGAATGATTAGAGACTCAATAGTTGATTTGATAAGTTTTTTTTAATAAATGTCAGAGAATCCCTTCTGTTTTCATTATGATATAAAACAGTTAGTAGTTGAAAAACTCTTTCATTTCTCTAAAATAACATGAAAATCAAATGGAGAAATGTATGTTTCTACATATATTACTTTTTCTCTTTTGATTTTAACTATGATTGATATTTTTTTTATTTAGGCTATCACTATTACATGGCAACCAATATAGATGAACGAGTAGATCCATTTGCTGATCTTGAATATCGTGTAACAAATCCGAAAGTAAGTCAAGATGTAATTAATCGAAATTCTGGAATCAATATATTGAGTAAACAACCTATATCGAAAGCAGTACAACTTAAAGCTGAAAATTATGATTTGTGGTTTCAAAATGAACGTTTAATGGAAGAGAATGGTGCATTAGGTATTGAACTGGGTAAATTACAAGATAAACATGATAAATTAATGTATTTGGCACGTAATCGTCTTGGTGAAATACGATCAAAATATCAACGACTTGAACAAGATAATCAAACATTAAAAACTGAATTAGATCGTTTAGCACGTGAATATGAAACAACAAGAAAAATTGTTGAAGATTATCGCCGTATGGAAGAACGGTAAAAAAAAAAAAAAAAGCAAAGAAAATCAAAGTTGGAAAACTTTTTTCTTTATTTTTATCATGTTTTTCTTTGCATAGTTTCAAAACAGCCGATCGTGAAATGCGTTTAATGATTGATACATTAACACGTAATAATGAAGATTTAAAAGGACAAAATCAAGCATTAATAAATGAACTTGAATTATTAAAAGAAAAATATTATATAGCTAAACAAAATTTAGAAAAATCTATGCGAGATGCAACATTGCTTAAAGAAGAATTAACTAAAGCTGTTTATGCACGTGATTCACTTGAAAAAGAATCTGTCCGATTGAATGGTAAAGTAAATGAACTTGCTGCTGGAAAAAAAGCTGCGGATGAAAAAGTTGACTTTTTAAACGGTCGAACAAATAACTTACAAGTGGATTTAAGACGGTAAGAAAGAATAACAAAGAATGAATATTATCCTTTTGTTTTCATTCTTATTTTAGTTCAGAAGCGAATGCTGCTATGTTACAAGAGCGTTTTACATTAGTTAAAAATGAACGTGATGCATTAGATGCTGATAGTAAAAATAAATTAGCATTATTAATGCAAAAATTAAAAGAACTTCAGATACAAAATAAAACTGCTATGGAACAATTACATGCCCAAAGTAAACAATGTGATCATTTAAATAGTGAAAATAAACAATTACTTGAATATGTTGTAAGTAAAAAAAAAACAAAAAATGAGATATAAGATTCAATAATAATTTTTAAAAAACTTTTTTTTTTAATTTTTTTTTATAGAATGGTTATCGTAAGGAGAATGATCTTCTTGCTAAGCAACTTGTTTCTGTAAATACAAAACAAAAACGTTTAGCACTTGAACTTGAAAAATTGAAATCTGTCGATGCTTTTATGAAAAATGAAGAAGCTATGAAAATGCAAGATGCTTTAATGGGTCTAACTGATCAATTAACACAATTACGTAAAATGCATGCTAATACACTTGCTGAAAATCAACGTATTAAAGAATTATTAATAGAAAAAGATTCTGTTTTAACAAATTTGGGTTATGAACGTCATCAATTACAAGATAAAATGATTAAAAATGAACATACAATTCGACAAATGGAACGCATGTTAGATGGTAACGGTGGAGCTAAACGATCACCGATGGAACCACTGAGTAGTACAGGACAACCTAATGCAACATCAAATGCATATTCATTCGAAAATGTTCTTGAATCTTGAAATAATTCTATGTGTGTAACAGAGTGATTCTAGATTTTTCTTTTTTCTTTTCTTCTTCTTTTTTTTGGGATGCAAATAAAAAGATGTGCCTTCACCTTGATGATGGTGTTTCGTAGACATTGATTTTCTTTTCATTTTCTATTTTAAGGTTTTTTTTTTGCTGAGTCAATATGTGATACAAAAAAACTTAACCTAGAACTATGCATGAGAATAATGACGAAGCCTTCTATCGTGAGAGACGATGATATTGAAACACATGTGAAATAAGATAAAGCCAAAGTATAAAAGTCTGTCTGAATTGACTGTTACAAAGTACTGTCTCTATAATATCATAAACAAAGGTGAGTACATGATGAGATAACAATCAAAGTTTCAAGTTTAAGTCATAACAATTTTCTTTGTTTTACATTGTCGATATAGATGCGATCAATTTCAATTCTTGCTATTCTTGCACTTGCTTTTAGCTGTGCATTAACTCTCGATGTTACACTTAACCAACACTGGAAGTTATGGAAAGAAGTTAACAACAAACATTATACCGATGGTGAAGAACACGTTCGGTATGAAATTTTGATTTCGATCTATAGATTTCATTTATAAATGAATAATAAAATTTCTGTTGGTTTTTTTTTTCTATAGTCGAGCTATATGGGAAAACCACTTAAAAGTAGTACGCGATCACAATCTTCGCGCTGATCTTGGTGTTCATACATATTGGCTTGGAATGAACAAATATGCTGATTTGGTAAAACTTAAATACATTTATAATTTTATAGATATTTATAAAAATTTTCTTTTATATCAAACATAGACCATTACTGAATTTGTCAAAATGATGAACGGTTTCAATGTTACAATGCGTAATCAACGTACTGAAAATCTCCTAGAATTTACACGTAATCCAGTTGTTGAATTACCAGATACTGTTGGTATGTATAGATGTTAATAGAAATTAATAATTTTATTTTTTTGTTTTATTTTAGATTGGCGTGACAAAGGTTATGTTACAGGTGTAAAAGATCAAGGTCAATGCGGTTCATGTTGGGCTTTTTCAGCAACTGGTTCTCTTGAAGGTCAACATTTCAAAGCTAGTGGTACACTTGTTTCACTTTCAGAACAAAACTTAGTCGATTGCTCAGGCAAACAAGGTAATATGGGTTGCAATGGTGGTTTAATGGATCAAGCTTTTGAATACATCAAAGATAATAATGGTGTTGATACCGAAGATTCATATCCATATGAAGCTATCGATAATCAATGTCGATTCAAAGCAGCAAATGTTGGTGCTACAGATACTGGCTTTACTGATATCAAATCAAAAGATGAAAGTGCTCTTCAAGAAGCTGTTGCTACTGTTGGTCCAATCTCAGTTGCTATCGATGCTAGTCATACATCATTTCAATTATACAAACATGGTGGTATGTATTTTTAATTAATCATTCTTTTTTTTTTTTTGTTTCGTGAATTTTCAATCATGTGAATTGATTAATTTAGTTTACAACGAACCATTCTGCTCACAAGTTCGTCTTGACCATGGTGTTCTCGCTGTAGGTTATGGTACAGATTCTGGCAAAGATTATTGGCTCGTTAAAAATAGGTAATTATCATATATGGCTCTTTGTTTTTTTTCATTCAGCATTCCATTTATTTTATTTTATTTGTTAATTAATTCTAGTTGGGGTGAAGGTTGGGGTGATAGTGGTTACATCAAAATGAGCCGCAACAAACGCAATCAATGTGGTATTGCTACAGCTGCCAGCTATCCAACTGTTTAAAAGACATATTTTCATGTATTTTTTCTTTTTCCTTCTGTCTTTTTTTTTTTTCTTTTATTCATTCTATATATTTTGTTTTTTTCGTATTCAAATGACAACAGTAATAACATCACGACAATAAAAAGGAAAAGAACTATACATCTTATTATATATTCATAGAATGATGCTATAGTTGGAATCAATGCATGACATACATTAGCTATGATTTTCTCATCTCTTCCCTATCAATACGCATAACAAGTACTAGTCAAACTGAGACAGTTCTAATTGAAAGATATATGTATTTGTCAATGATATTGATCACTAACAAACAGGATATGTTTGTGTATGTATTATGTGAATGAATCAATTGGCTATTGACAAGAAGAAAAAGCTTCGATGAGAAAAAAAATAAAATAAAAGAACACTTTTCCTTCATCAACAATGCAGCACGCTCTCAATACTCTTCCTATTTATTATTCTTTGCATCTAAGAAGATCCAAACGGATATTGTGTTTGATTACTTTTCATCCGGTCACGAAATATTATTGAAAATAAATTCGAAATAGAATATCAGGCTTGATAGTCACCGAATGAAAGAAAGAGTAGTTATAATAATAATAATAATAATAATAATAATAATAACAACAACAATAACAAGAATTGTTTTCTATATCTATATAAAACTAATGAATAAAAAAGAAGACGAGAGAAAATAAAAAAAAAAAAAGGGAAGACGAAGAAGAAGAAGAAGAAGCAGAAGAAAAGAAAGGGATTCGCGAAATTTATAATCAAAATCGACATCGTCTCCAAACTACATTTAGCCATTTATTCAAAAATCTTGAATTCCACAGCTTGTTCGATCATAATAATCAAATCAGTGAGCTATTTATCATCATATAAGCTTTACAAGAATAAAAACAACAGAAAAATAGAGAATAAGAGAAAGACGACGACTTGATTCTTGTTGCATGTCGAATGAAATGACAACATTAAATGCAATTATTAATCTAGCACATATATCCGACTAACAATCTTTTTCGCATCTTGTAAGTCTTGTTATATCTCAACTATATATTAAGTGAAAACAATCTCTTTTTTCTTGATAAACAATGTCTAATAATTGGACATTTGATCATGATGATCATGCACCCTTTGGTTCCGATGAAAATATTAATATCACTGAATATCGTTCACTTTTAATTACAATATTTTTCTTTATGATTGGATTATTTGGAAATAGTATTATGTTAGTTGGTAATGGATATATTTTACGACATTCATCAGGCGGAGAAAAACGTACATTCGAGAATTTTCTAGTTGAAATATCTTGTTTTGATTTAATTATATTGACATATCATTTAATGAACTCAATTATACGTTATAAAACATTACCAGAAAATGAAACTGATATAATGACTGGTTTAATAAATATATCAACAGTTTGTTGTAAATTATTAACATATATTATACGAGTATCAACATTAATGTCACATTGGTTAATTATTTTACTTCTTCTTAATCGATTATTTCTTGTTTATTCAAAATTCTATCGATTTATTGCTATTGTCAATGCTAAATATGCAGTGTAAGTAGATGAGTTTTTTTTTTTTTCTAGAAAATCTACTCTAAATCTTACAATTTTATCATTGCTCTAAAAATAAAAGAAACCTCACTATCATTGTCTGACAATAACACTAAGATTTAAATAGAATTCAAACAAAGACTAGAACAAGTCTTGTAAACTGTTGAAATTAGAAGTAGATCATCTCAGTTGTATTTTGTATTCTTCTATAAAAAATATTTTTTCATGAATTAAGAAATTTTCTATATATGTACACAAGTTCAATAAGTTTATGTTTTGAAGTGAAATTTTATGAGAATCTTCTGTAAATGATCAATATATATATTTTTTTTCTATAAGTAAAAAGAGTGCATTCATAATTGAGAACTATATTTTCCGTTCTCATAATTTAATAAATATAATTAGTTTAATTTATAAATAAACTTTCTGTACGTATTTGAATTACTTATTTCCTAATATATATACGAAAAAGAAGAAAAAGACTTTTAAATATTTTCTTTAAATTTAGTTGTGTTTTATTATTTGTATTCACTCTATTCAATGTACTACCAATTGAATCAATGTCATACAATGAACCACTTTCTTTTATACATAATTCAACAACAAATGTAACATTTCATCGTCATTGTTTAATGAATGCAGAAATGGTTGATTTACATGCATCCATTTATTCAACATCAGTTATTATTAATGTATTTTTTTATACTGGTCTTGGTTTATTATTACCAACTATAATAATATGTATTTTATCAATATTATTATTTCGTAAAGGTGCACATATATGGAATGAATTACATTCACATTATTCTGAAACAGAAAATATTTCACTTCGTTATGATTCACCAATAGCTGATTATCTTCGTACATATAATGCAGCATTTTCACTTGGTATTGTATTTGTATTTTTATCAATACCATGTAAATTTTTACGTTTTATTGTTTTATTTGCATCAAATCATATTGATGAATATGCATCATCAAATGAAATACTTGTTAAAGCTCATGCACATATGCAAACAATTGGTTTAGCATTTGAATTATCACTTTATTCATATAAATTTTTTGTTTTTATTTGTACAAATTATCGTTTTCGTTGTGCATTAAAATATTTATTAAGATATCAACGTAGTCATGTTATTCTTGATCAAAGAGTATCAACAACAACAAATAATAATGAAAATCAACGAATTCATTTAAGTAATTCACAAGAAAGTGTACCATTTGAAGGTTTATATAAACATTTAGAAACAAATGAATTTGATATACCAATTAATATACATCGAACTGGTGTAGGTGGTGGACATGGAACTATTAGTTCATATAGTCATCGATCAAGTTTTAAAACACGTTCAAGTGTTTGTAGTCGACGAACAAAAGAAGATGAAATATCACTTTAAATATTTTAGCTTTTTGATGTTTCTTATTTTTATTTTGTTCTTTTTTTGTTGTTTTTTCTGTTTTGTAGAAAAGAAAAAAAATAATCTTTATTCAAAAATAAATGTTGTATGAAATATGAATTATTAATAAGGTTTAAAAGAGAAGAATCAGAATTTTTGTTTTTAGTCATCATTTGAATAATGATCTTCATATAATCATTGTTCAATCGATTGATAAATATTAAATATTCAATCATTTCTTCTTCTTTTTTTTTTTTTGTTTCTCCAGTGATTTGCATAGTCTAGTTCATGTAATTGATGATAGATATATTTATTAGTCTGTTTTTATTTTTGTGCTGTAGAAGATTCTAGTTTTTTTTATATTAATTCAAAACTTTTTATCTTTTTTTGCAAGCCGAGTATTAACGTATATAGATTAGTTTGATACGAGATATTGAGTCATGTAATTGCAAAAAATTGCTTTTTGTTTAATCAAATATATGTTCATTTTGCTAAGCGGATTATATTTGACATATATGTTTCATTTAAAAAAAGAAATGTCTTTAGATAATTCTTCTACTTGCTGTCAGATGTTTTCTTTTTGTTTTTGGTCTAAACTCATTAATATAAATAGAATTTTCTTCTATTTTAGATCTATTAGAAATTTTACGTCTTTAGATCACGCTGTTAGAAAAGAATTCTATTTTAAATTAGTTTCTAAGAAAACTTGCATGCAAATGATAAAAATCTGTGTATTATTCATAATATGTTATTGAAAAATTAAAAAAAAAATCGAATGTACTAACAAATTAACATGAATTTTTTGTGAAAGATCAATTATTATATTTCTTATTCTCTTGTCTGACGTATGCACTCGATGTTTATTTTATGAACATTATAAAACAAATGCGCATATATTATGAACGATAGTTTGTACTTGGAAAAGAATTTCATTAATTTAGACAAGCAATGTCCAAGTACATTTAGTATGCTTAGATAGGAAACCATACAATTATGAAACCTTTGAATATCATGCGATTACAATCAGTCAACTCGATTGATAGTATAATAGACTATATAATTATTAAACTAGAAAAAAACTCCATGGAATGATTTTGAAGATTGTTGAGGCAGAAATATGTAATTGTATTATACGATATGATGTTGGAGAAAAAAAATAATTATTAAATTGTTTACGCAATGTAAATAATTCCTATATATGTTTCTTTATATTAATTAACAATCGAATGATGTAAATATATTTCAAAATTTAATTACATATAACTAAATCAACACATTTTTGATGACTATTAATACTTTATGATTAGTTCTGTAATCATCAATCATCTTTCTCATGCTATTAATATACATATATTGTTACTTTGCCGTAAAAATTCTCGCCTTTGAAAAAAGACTTCGCAATTCATTTCATATAATTTGTTCTTTCATCTCAAGTGCATAGCAAAGTATTCGAACTTTTATTTCTTGCAATAGATTTGTTTCATTTTTGCTTTTTCAAGATCAAAATGCTTGGGAGAAGTAGCCATTATATTGTTTTATAGAGCGTAATTGTTATTTTTATTTTTGCGAACTTGCTTATTTTTTGTTATTGGCGTTTTTTTTTTTCTCACTGTTTTTTAAATTGTTATATGTATTAGTGAAAACTAGATAAATAGTTTTTTCGTTGTTTTGTCAATGTTGTGTAAAGTATGAAGTAATATGTAGGTGTATTTTGTAAAGAAAATATGTTTTCATCTCTTTTGATGCATTTTTTTTTCTTTTTACTAATCAAACAATTAATCAATTTACTTAATACAAATACAAACACTCAGATGTATAAGCATTAAGAAACGAATAGAAAAGAAAACACAATGCTACAATAATTTCTACATAAAAAATAGAAATATTTATGGAAGAAAAAAGAAAAGCAAAAAAAAATGAGTAAAAAATATCTTATATTATTAAGTCATGAACACGTACGTTTTTCTGTCTTCATTATAACACTAAACTGCCTGAGAAAGGCGTTGAATCAAAAGAGCTTGAGGTAAAGAAAAGAAAAAGAAAACGATAGAAATATTTGAATTTTTTACAAACAATGCAAAGAAAATTTTCTTCTTTCTTTTTTTTTTTTTACTTTTTCTTTCTCTTAATTCTATTTTCATAAATTTTATATAAATGCTTGCTGCATGCTATAACATGCTGACTATACCATGAAAAATTTGAAGATTTAATGAAAATTATGACGTATTTACACATCTGAATAAAGCTAAAACATGGTTAATCGATAAGGCTTTTAAAAAAAAAAGACAAATAATCAATTAGAAAACATAACGTGCAATAGTTTATATAAAAAAAAATATATATATTATCAACAAGAGCGAAACAAAATGGCTATTAATGGTAGCCACGTGATGCCGGATGCAAATATCATTACAGGTATGATCTATAATAATATAATATTACACAAATGTTTCTAAAATATTAATGAACAGGATATTATTTTTCAATGCTTTAACCATATCTAAAATGTAGAACAAAATTTTGTAATCTTTTCATATAGATTTATGAATAGACTACCTTCACGAATCATTTGTAGTTTAATATTCTATAAATAAATCTTATTCATACTATAATTAATCTTTACAACTTCAGTAATTCTAAAAACCTCAATAACCTTCATTTATAATTATTTTGAAAACAATTCAGTCTTTATCTTTTTTTTTTTTTACTACCCGTAGAATAACTATTCTTATTAAAAAAAGAAACCAATTTAACAATAATTTTATCGTTTTATTCTAGTAACTACCGGATTATCAAGCTGCGATAATACAACATTAGGTTTAAATGAAACTATATATGATGTATGTAAATTTGCTAAAATAAACTGTTGATTTTATTTATTTATTATTTCGAAGCTTCAAAATTTATATCAAAGTAACATTTCAAATTTTACATCAAATATTTTTTTAAATATTTCAATCAATAATTTTACGTAAATTTATCAACTTAATTTTGTATAAAAAACATAGAATTTTGTTTGTTGTTTTTTTTTTGATTTAGTTGTACGAGAGGAACTGGAAATTATTTTGAACAAATTATTACTTTTACTCAATCAGTTTCAATACGAATTCAAATTTTATTTGGTAAAATTTCATTCAATGTTGAAAATATTTTTTCTTTTTGTTTTCTAATAAATCAATCTTTTTATTATTTTCTTTTTAAGCTTCTATTTATTATGATTATATAAATGCTAATAATTATCGATTACATGGTTTTATTATTGATCAAGAATCATATTTTAATTTATCATCGATCACTCTAAATAATAGTAAGTCAATCTTATTGTACTAATTAAAATTTCATGTCTTTTTTTTGTTGAAATAAATTTTTCACAGATATTCTTCGAACAAATTTTCTTTAAAAACCTATCGAATGTTAGATTTGTTTATATTTTAGACAAGAAATTCCAATGAATCTCTTTAGAAAAATAACTCTATTTAAATATGAATGATTCATCATCAACTATGATTGAGGAATATTCATAGTCATTCTGTTCTTTGAAACATAATAAGATTAACTTATGAAATTACTTCTTTTTAATAATCAGTTCAATACATCTTTTAATCCGCTTTAATTTTCTATACTCAATGACTTTTATCAATGCTGTCTTCATACCTAAAATTGATCACTTTCCATGGGTCTCGGTTACATTTTTGATTCTATATCATTTTTGTGTCACAGAACAAGCGAGAATCAATCTGAAACTTGAACAAACTGTACTCTCTAGTTCTATATGTATCACAATTAGTCTCTTCCGGATCAACAGGAGCTTGTTTTCAGATTGTTCTCTATAGTAATAATTTTGTCTATATGGAGGAGTCGCATATTTACGATAGTTTAACAATAATGAATATTCCCAACAAAAGTTTTTCTGTCCCGACAACAAGAACAGAATTTCTGATTAACTAATATAAATGACTTGTTTGAACATGAAAACAAAAGAACTTTTTGACTTCTGAATCCCCGGAGGAAAAGAAGATATTATGAAAAAATTTAATTTTAAAATGAACATCAAGCTATTTATAAATTCTTCTAGAGTTACATGCCGGATTACGACTGTATAATCAGAATCTAAAGTTGGAAAAGAAATAGTAATATAGCAAATGTCCTTGCTACAAGCTTATATCTCTACATGCCTCCAGTAATTTGGATGCTAAAGAGTTTTTTCTCTGTTTCAACTTGTTATTTATATTAGTTAATCATGGACACTGCGCTCATTGTCAGTATGGAAAATTTTGTGTTAAACATGTTCGTTATCGTTGTAGTATCATAAATATGCCATTACTCCATATGGAAAAATAGATTAGTGTAGGAAAAAATCTTACAACGAGTTCCTGCTGTGTTTCGGAAGAGATTAATTGTGAAACATATAGAAACTCAATAGTATGTAATGTTTGAGAGAGTCTTACGTTGGTGCTCGCTTTTTCTGTAGCACAGGAAGGAAATAGAGTCAAAAAAAAATAACCGAGATCTATGAAAATTGACTATTTCGAGGTATGAAGAAAGCAGTGTTAAAAAATATTCAATATAGAAAATTAAAGAGTATTTAAGACTGTATCAAACTGATTATTAAAAAAGAAATGTGATAAATCTATCCCAGAAAATCCTAAGGAACATAATGACTATAATCTTTATATTGTATCCGTCAGGCATTATAATCAGTATACGAACTTTTACCATAGCTAAATTCGAAGAAAACTTGATATCTTTTATATATCATTTGTTGCGCTGCTAATTACTCAACAAAACTATATATGTATATATGAGTTTCTGATTCGAGACAGTCATCTAATTTGATAGGTTCCTTTACCTTAACTTTTCCTCAAATTTCTTATATATAAAATAGTTACTATAGACATTTATTGATAAAGAATTGTATGATCGACTAAACGAGATGATCAAAGCATCTAGCATAGTTTATGTTATTTAAGAGAAACATAGATTAGACAAATGAGATGCGTATAATGTTCTCATCGATTCCTCATAGGTAACATGATCGAGCAACTGACAATTGTGTGATATACAGAAAAAAATCATGCTGAACACAACATAAATAATTACTTGAGTTACAATGAAAATTGACTGTAGATTGTTTAGAATATTAATTGATTAGATATTTATTTAATGGTTGCTAACGAGAGAGCATATCTAAATGTCGAACGCTGTTGGACCACATACCTTGAATATTAGAGTAGGGCTCAGTGAAATCTAGAAAACTGTAGAAGCTGTCGCAGACACTCATCATATCGAGAAAAATACATTCGTTTGCGTTCAAATTTTTAGAATATTTTAGTGGCCATAAGACCTTTCTATGGGTGAAAATTCAGGTGCAAATCTTGTTATTGAATATTCCATAAATCGTTAGTCTAGAGGCTCAAAACTCGCTAAAACATTCATGGCTCTGGCTATGTAATGCATGGGTCCGAACCTTTTACGATTTTCTTGGTTTCAGCAAGCTGTTTTGTCATAACCAAAATATATAAGGTCGAACCGCATCCGACCGTCAGATACATTTCTTTGTGAGACAGTAAAGAACATGAACGAAATACTCTTTAGTATAGATGAATGGATCGATAGAAATCTAGCCGATGATTATCTTTTAATGATTATATCATTTCACATGACTTAGCTATCAACTACTAATATTTTACGATTACAAAGTAAAGATGAATTCGATCATTCCAGTTAAGTTTTCAATAAATTATAGTCGATGAGACGATTGAAAAAACTTTTCACAAATTCTGATAAGCTATTCAATGATCTATTGAATCCATTATAAATTCATTTCTATAAATACTTTAAGACTAAAATTAGAAACAAATCAATTCTTTTTTTTTCTTTGCTTATGTCAAGGTGTCAAATCTGATGCTTGTTCAAGTGCCGAAGCTGCACAAGAGCCATTTTGTCTAACGAACTTGACACATCCAGTATGTACTTTGCTGCCAAATAGATGGAATGTTACTTGCAGGTTGAAATAGAACAAGCCAATTAAACCCTTTTTTTTTATACACATTTCATTTTCTAGTCAAAATTTTCCTACAACTACAGCTTCATTATCTATTTCGACTACAATGAATAATAGTCAATCAGATATGCCAACAGGTACATCAGGTTTGAATTCATGGCAAATTGGTCTTGTTTGTTGTTTAAGTATGTTCTAAAAATGATTTAGAAAGACAAATTTAATATGTTTTATTTTTAGGTATTTTATTTGTGTTAATTATAATTATAATTATTATGTATTTTTCTCGTCGATCTAAACATTCAAAAAATCTTGCTATATCACATGTTAATCTTTTTAATGATGCACATGTAATGCATAAAAGGTACCAAAGCAAAGAATAATTTCAATTATCATAAACATTTTAATTTTCTTGTTTTCTGTTTAATAAATAGTGAAACATCTCAAAATCAAGTATTTCAACGAACACCAACAATTGTACAATCGAAACATGATAATAAGACAGCTATTTCTTGGATTCATGATGTTGCAACGACTACTAGTACTGATCATAATCATGTACAGTTTGTTGATTTAAAGCCACCTGAACTTTATAAGTAAAATTTTTCTAGTTTTTTTTTTTTTTTTTTTGAAAATGATTTACTTTTGTTTCAGTCAAGTGACATTTGTTGATCACGCAAAAGTACATGATCCTGGTTTTACCTCAAATTTGCCTCTAAAATCAATAACGCCTGTTAGTGTTCCAACAAGTCCTTCGAATAGAGCAGCATCTAAAGTAATTTCAACAATAGTTATTTCTCGACCTTTATCTCGCACATCAATGAATCAATTAAAAGCCATAACTGGTAATGATGCAACTTATATAATGAATAATTAAAAATTTTTTAAGATAATATATTTGTTAACACTTGCCCCACAAAAAAAGTATTTCAGATATGTCAGAAAACATGTTTTTTTGTCCTTTTAGAATATGGAATACAAATTTTGGATCAGTTTTTGGTCGAAAGTAATGCAATAATCTCTCACAAGTCCAAAAAAAAAAATTTTGGAACGGATAATTTTCTTGTATTTTCTCGACTGCAGTTCGAAATTAAAAGTTGGAATCTTTATTTATACATATCAGCTTGTAAATCAAAAGTTATTCTATTAAATTCAGAATTCGGAGATCTTTTTGTCTTTCGACAGATCACCTCAATTTTCGTTTTTTTTCCAACTACTCATTTTTGAAAGACTGACAACCGTCTTACATTGAAAGGAGCTCTTGAATAGATGCTTAAGTAAAAGCTACAACTACTGTTAATACAGTCTGAGATTTTGTAGAGACATGTTCACACTACAAAGCAATCGACTCCAAAATTGTTTAGAGCGTCCAAAAAGAGATTTATAAGATAAAAAAATCGATTGGTTCATCATTAAAACTAATTCGTTTAAGCCTTTCAAAAATTTGTTCACTATTCTCAAAAAAAAATATACACAATATTTCTAAGTCCATATTCGAAAAGAGTATAAAATCAACTTGTTTACTGACTGGAAATACTTTCTAAAGAGTCAAAAATGAGCATAGATCTTGTCTAAAAACTTTCCAATCATTCGTTATATATTTGTGAACTGCTTTATTTACTTTTTTATGTTTCAAGATGGATTACAAGAAGATAAACTCAATGACTCTGATAATATCTCATTAAGTCAATCTTTTTCAAGTAGTCCGAAAAAACCAAGTACACCTGTATCAAGACAGACTGAAAATGTATCAATTGTTGATGAAAGTTTACATGATGAAGATGCTTGGATGCCTATTTTAGCTGTTGTTAAGGCTGAAGTATGAATAAAAATCTTGATTAAAAGAGTTTTGTTTTTCTTTTAAAATTTTTTTCTTTAGATTGATGCACTCGATGAACAAGATCGAGCGAATTCATTAACTGAGAGATATTGTTAAAAAAAGTTATAATTTTCTTTTATTTTGTATAAATATTTTTTCTTTTATTGTATTTTTGTAATTCTATAAATGGGTGATAGTGGTTTTATATTTGATTAGATGATTTTATAATTATCAAAATCGATTATCGTTTTAGAGAGTTATATATACTCGTAAAAAACGTTAATTTTTAATTTTGAAAATTGAATGATCATACTTTTGTAGACGATGATTCGAAAGAAAACTCATATCAGCTTTATAAAATTTAATTTCTACAATTATAAGATTGCTTTTTTGAAATTAATTTTTTTTTGTAATAGATAGAGCTGCAAAAACGCTTCTAAATAGGATCGCTTTTATGAGGAACACATTTCAGCGTAAGTATAAACAAAATAAAAATTCATTGAATACGAAAGTCTTTCCGGAACGAAATCATATTTGTTAGAAATTGATCTTTTATAAAAGTTCAATAAAACATTAACGGAGGAGTATTATGACCTGAAAGTTTCAGGTTATACTTCTAGATGATCATCGCTTAATGATACCTCCTTCTCTTTTTTGACAGTTTTTGGTTCTTGAAGACAGTGTAACCAATTCAGCTGAAATTTTTATCACAAACAGAGCACTATAAATTAGGACACGCACATTCGAGGAAAAAATTTCGAAGTGAGATTTTGATGTACAGTCCTAATTTTCCATAGGACAGCATTCTTGTTGCTTGCGACTGCCATCTAAGTTTGTTTAATCGAGCTGAAATTTCTACTGCAGATTCCTTGAAAGTATTTTCCAAAAGTAAAATTGGCCATTTTCATTTTGAATTTTCTATCCAGATTCATAAGGTCCTGAACGTCAAGATCCCCGTGTTGGCATCAAACATTGACGTATTTCTCTCATAAAAAAGAAAAAACTAGAGTTTTTGGAAAATCTTGAAACTCCTTTGAGATATAATGCCAGGTATTTCAAAAAAAATTCAACCCAATCGAATAAAGTGTGATAAAGGTCGTAAGCAATCAGGATGCTGTCCTATGGAAAACCAGAGTTTCCAAGAAAAAATTGCAAAAGTTCACTTTAAAATTTTTCCTCAAATCTGTATCTAGTAATTTTTGATGTTCTATTTGTGGTAAAAGTTTCAGCTTGATCAGTACTATCGTCTTTGAGAACCAGAAACAGACAAAAAAAGAGGTTGGGTACATTTAAGTGTGCATAGAAATCATCTGAACTTATTGCTAAATTTCTATTATTACTAAAAGTATCCGTACAAAATCAATATTTCATATTTTTTAGCATGAAGCAAGTACCTTACTAATTTTGTTAGTTCCTTATTTGAATTCGTTTTTGTTACGATTAATCATATGTTGAAGACAAAGGGCTTCGATAACTATAAAAATATGTTTAAATTATTGTTGAATTTCGGTTTCATAATGAGAAACAAAGTATAACATAATAAAAAAAAAATGATAAAGCAACAAGTACGCTCGTTCGAGTGACTCGCTTGACCCTCGACTGCATATTCGGTCCTTTCCATTTTTTCTTCCGATCTACCGTCCTCAACACAGCTAGTATCGGATGTTCGAAAAGAGTGGGTAGGTAGGTGTACGCTGACATGGGCGTCAATCTCATTGTGCGTAATTTTATGCGGGCCCGGATGAACATTTTGTCACAAATGCATCCAATGAAATTGATACCATCACATTGACACTCAACAATAAATCTAAGGAACCATACTATGATGACGACATCCATATGTACCCAAAAAGCAGCTTATATTCAGCTTTCTGAGACGTATTGAAGCAAAGCTCATTCGCGACACTTTCGTGAAAACGCGCCATACTCCTTAAAATTTCTAGTAAAAGTCCGTTCGCTTGCTGACACATCTGCCGACAATATTGTTTACTAGAGCGTCCGCTAGCAAAATAGGGCTTACTTGAACTTCTAGCTTGCAATTAATCATATTAGGTCTGGTATATAATCGGACTACCACACTTGAAAGAAGCTCCTACTTATATTACCCATCAGACTGGATAGGTAGTTTCAATATATCCAAATACATTTCGACATTTGAATCAGTATCGACAAGAAAGCATCCCACCAAGGAAACCCCCGTTTATTTCATTCAAATAGCATTCCGATAGAACGAATATAAATTCTATAAATAATGTTTTCCCTCAAATGTACTATTCAAATATCCCACACGTGCAGAAAAGCCGTTCTCACACTTTATTTCAAAATATTTCTCAGTTCTTAGCAACTGCTACTCCTTATTCAAGCCCGTATGACCTAGACTCTTGATGTCTATTTGATCAATACCAGCAGCTTGAAGCATTTCTTTAAGGGACTTTCTAATGCAGCGGCTAATCGTTCGTCGGCGCCCCTCCGGGGTGCCACTCACGACTAGCCGCTGCTATGTTTCGTTCTATTTCTCCGCAGCACCATCCTTTTTTATTTACACTTCATCTAAACCCAAACTCGGCTTAATTTGAAAAACCATTAGATCTATAGCATGAAAATTCTCAACGGGGATTTCTAAACCAAAGCTTCGTTGTGAACTATTTCTGATTTCTTCAATTTCATTCTGCAGCTGAAAAATCTGAGTATTCTCGAAATACTTCATTAAGAAAATTTTAGTGCAGTTTTCTCAAAAAACTCTGTTTCTACATTAAAAAAAATTTTTTTCAAAAGAAATGTTTTTTTGACCTCCCACAGAAAAAAAATTTTTTCAAAAAAATTTCAGGTGTTTTCGAAAAAATTTATTTTTTCACAAGAAGTCTGTTTCTGCATTAAAAAAAAATTTTCGAAAAAAAATGTTTTTTTGACCTGCCACAAACAGACAGACAGACAGACAGACAAACGCATTTTAGATTTTTTCATATGACCCTCCCTACAGTCGAGGGAATAATCAGTATCAAGTTAAATCATTTATGAAAAAGAAAAAAAATCTTTAAAAAACAATCCCTTTTTAGACCGAAATTGTTTGTCAATAGAGAATATATCAGTAAGTCTATAATTTCAATGAGTTTCAACTGAACAGTAATTGTTAGTGAGAGTTTTTTCTGCTTTTCAATGGCAGTATACGGTTCCAGCATAGATTTCCTATTTAGTGGATTTGTTATTTGTCTTCAAATATGATGGAGCGCTTTCAAAATAAAAATACAGCCTTCATAAAAAGTTCTGGAAAACGTGACAACAGTTCTTCAATACTTTATGTTTATCAAACAAACGAGTTGTTGCTATTTGATATCAACAAATAGTATCAAACATAAAATATCTAGCGGCAAAAAACTGTTAGGAGTCAAATAAATGCAGCAAACAGTAGCATAAAAGAGAAGTCTATCTTATTTCTTTTCTTTTATGTTAAAGTAGATAAAATATTTCAAAATTTTATATTTCTATTTTGTTTCAGCCTTTAGTATATTGTTTGATGTCTTAGAGAGTTCATGCGTTTGTTATTTTCTTAAATTTATTCTCCTCTTCAAAATGAAGAGCAAAAAAAGATATTATTTTTTTTCTATTTCACAGTAAGTTTTTACTAGGCTCCTTTTGATCACAAGCATTTTCCAGCGAAAAACTTCATTACGAAAAACATATCGACAATAGTCAGTTTTGAAGTTTTCTTGATTGATACAATTTGCAATCGAGGAAAAGTTAATAAGTGAATAGAACAAAAATGTCCAAGAGACTTTGCTGTTAGATATTTCATATTTGATAGATATGAAATGATAATGATTTGTTTGTTCAAGAAATTAGGAAAGCTTGTTCAATAATAATACCAAAAACATATGCTGACGACATTTCATAATCAACTTAAACATAAAGTGTGGAAGAACTCTTATTTAGTGTCTCAAAACTTTTTGCGCAAGCTGTGTTTTTGTTTAGTAGGTTTTCATGAGTTCTATCTCTATTACAAAAATATTCGAACTATATAATAAATTCTGAAGAAACTGCCGGAGGTTTTTTTGAAAGTGCTCTATGACGGTGTGTTATATAAAAACGAGTGAATATTGTTGAAGTCTATTAAAACCGACAGAAGTCAGTCGTTTTCGATGTACTCTTTTATTATTGACGTCTCTGCACCCACTAGCAACAGAACCCAGATCGGGTCCGGTCATGAGGTAAGTTTTTAGTTGTAGATGGCGCTGCAGAAATTTTCATTAGTAAAATATATTTTGAAACTGTTTTCTTTTCTCGGTTAATTTGAATTGTCCCTGAGAAATAATTTCAATATGAGTAGAATATCATTCTCTGCAATCATTTATGGCTAGAACTGAAAGTTGTAAACACCCCTGTCAGTTTTATGAGTGTCGCGGTACAACGACAGTAGTGCGAACAAACGTGCAACATGAGTATGCTTACATTGATATAATGAGAACACTAATAATAGTGATCTATTCAATTAAATGTCATTTCTTGTTCAAGTCTAACGAGAGTAAACTTTTCTTTTTAGTTAATTATTTATGATTCATTTCATATTATTATCTTTGATTAGATAGAATGTTCGTAATACATAAATAACCTATTGGAATTTATTTATAACTCAATCTAGTCTATCTATAAGAAAAAAAAAAGACGTGTAATTAATGAACAAATCAAATTTTTATTTAGTTAGAATAATTATGAAGAATTAAGTCTTGTTAGATAAAAATCAAATATTTGTTATTTATGCTCGTCCTTGATTTTATCAGGTGTAATGATGTTGTTTTAGATGAAAAGAAAGTTAGCAGACCATAAAATGGTTTGTTTTTACATAGGTAGAAACAAGTGTCATGGCCGACATTGAAATATTTTATGCACTGATTTTGAAACTCACACTAGGACAAAGCTATTTAAAATAAAAAATCTTTTGAATACATAACTTAATCTATTTTAAACTTGTTCAGTTCTATGTGTTTTTATACTTTAACTATTTTGTTTTCAAAAGTAAAATAAATCAGTAATGATATGTTCATATAAATCCATTTTTGAAAACGAAATATTTTCACGATAGTGATTATAAGTCTATTCTATACACACAACACACTGAAACACCCACCCACACACACACACATGTATATATCTCTTGTTTTATGCATTCATTTCAAGAGACGACACGCATTGGTGATGATGGGTTTCGAAGATAAACATAAGCACTTGATAAATGTTGTTGTCTATCATTAAATAATGGTCGTGGAGATGGTGATGACGACATATGACGTATATTGGTTGAATCTGCTCGTAATAAAGGTCGTTTAAAAAGAGGAATGTGCGCTGTGTCTAATGATGATTTATTATTATTTGAACGATTGACTGGTGATGTATGTGTCGATGTTGTATTTGTATGTTGTTTTAATGTTGGTGATGATGATGGTGATTTTGAAGAAAATAATTTTTTTGAACGTAATGAAGGCCCTGAGGAATCATTGAATGATGAATGACGACTGAGTTTGAAAGACTTTGATGATGGTGATGAACTCTGATTTGGTGAAGGCTTTTTATCGTATAAAGAACTACTATTTAATGTTGTTTTATTATGATTATTATTATTATTAAATAAAGTATCACTGGGACGTTTGTCTGAAGAAGATATTGATGTTGTTTGAAGTAAGTCATCTTCATCATCACACATATGATTAAATAAATCAGATAAAACAGGAAATATTCGATGACAACGAGTACATGTTCGTAATTGTTCAATGCCACTTGATAAACTATCTGTATGAAGAAAAAATAAATAAAACAAACTATAGACAAATATATTTATCTATTTAACAATTATCCTTGGCAAGAATATTACTAAGGATGAATAATATAAATGTACAAAAACAAATATTATTATTCGTAATGTTTTGACTACTGTAAGTAATGTTGATAATTATTAGCTAGAACAACTAAAGCAAATGCATGCTACTTACCGCCTACATACTCTATAACATGTACAACATAGCATCAAAAGCATACATAACTATGTAGATCTATGTTTATAAAACATGCATGTCTATATAATTATTATAATATATATAAATGAGCATGTGATGCTGAATTAAAAAAGACACAGAACAGGATAAAAATAGGTTTTTTTTTTTTGTTCATGCTTGAGCAAAAACTAAATCAGAATGTGAGTATATAAAGAGGCAAAAAAATGGACGAAATGAAAGAAATCAAACAACTATTTGGTAGTGCTGTTTTTGTTAGGTTGTTTCATTTTATTACCGGACGGTGTTTTTGAAGTAGATTGACTATCAACATTAAATGTATTCGATGTTGAATTATTAAAACGTTTTGTACTACTATTGCTTGTTGTCTGTTGTTTTATTCCAAATTGTTTACAAAGTGCTTCATGATCAAGACGATCTGTTAAACGAACATCTTGATGACAGTATGAACATTTTGATGTAAATAATTTATCTTCATTCGTATTTGTTGTTACTGTTGCTGATGGTGGTGGTGGTGGATGAGTTCGATTTCGAAAATTAGTTGTTGTTGATCTATTTGGACGATGTCGACATATAGCTTCATGTTGTAAACGATTTTCAATTGATGTTAATGGCTGAAAACAATATTGACATGCTTGAATTTTTTGTTCATTATTATTATTATTATTCATTGCACGTCTTCTTAAACGATGAGCATTTATTGTTGTTGGTTTTGCTTGTTGATAAACATAATTTTCTTCCATATTTTCTTCATCACTATCTTTATAATCAAAACGTGATGATGACGTTGTTCGTTTTTGTCTTGGATGATGTCCTAACCATTCAAAATGCATGTCATTAGCTTGTTTAGATGATGATGATGGTACATGATTAACATGTATTCGTGTACGATTTATTGTTGGTGGTCTTTGTTGTGAGGCACTACGTAAACGACTTGATGTTGGACGTGAAGTTTGTCGTGGATTTAAATTTGGAAAATGTATATCTTGAGAATTATTATTATTCAATGAATCATTTAAATCCATATTATGCCAAAAAAGATCATCATTAAAAAATTTATCAAATACAACACGTGTTAACATTTCAAACATCATAAATGGATTATCTATACTTGAACGTTGTTGAAATGTTGATGGAAATTTATATTCTGATGATGTCGATGATTTATTATCATCATCATTTTCAAATGGCCAATTATTATTCCATTTTGGTCGAGATCTTGTTGCAAAACGTGTTTGACTAGAACGATGTGTTGGTGGTGCTGAATCAAAATCAAGATCATCTGATCCTATAGAAAACAAAAACGATAAATAAAATAAAAATTATTGTAAATATTATTTTTTTTATTTATTACCTAAAGTTGAATTTTGTCGATCATGTTCAACATCATCATCATCACCAATTCCATCATCGTCATCATCATTATCTGATGAAATATGACTATTTGTTGAATCAAAAAAAGAAAAACCTGGCGAACGAAAACGTCTACGAAATGGATCAAAAAATGTATTTGTAAAATGTGGATTTCGTTGATGAAAATTTGTAAATGAATCTTGACCCATGCGATTAAAACGAAAACGTGCTGAACGTGAAGATGTTGAACCATCATTTGTTGTTGATGTATTAAATGTAAAATGTGGTTGACCGGGTGCATGAAATGATGTTTTAAATGATGTTTCTTGTTTATGTTGATGTGGAGCAGATTTTGTTGTTGTTGTTGTTGTTGAAGATTTTTGTTGTTGTAAATCATATATTCGACGTTTATCTACATCACTCAATGTTTCATATGCTTTACTTATTTCTTTAAATGTTTCTTCAGCTGTTGTAGACGAATTTTTATCTGGATGATATTGAAGAGCTTTTTTTCGATAGGCTTTTTTAATTTCATCATCTGTTGCTGTAGATTTAACACCCAAAATGGCATAACAATCTCTGGCTACCATTGTTTAGATGTCTGCTGTTACTTGTCTTACTATCTCAATCACTATTTCAACAATCTCGTTGATACATCTATAAATAGAAAAAAAAAACAATACACGTGATTTTTATTGTAATCGAAATAACATAAAACCTATTGATTGAAGAAAGAAACACGTATAGAGCAGATGAATACCTACATAATGCGTCTATATAGCAAACAAGTAGGCTTATTAATTAATACTGAAGGTTAAACAAAAAGAAAAAGAAAAAGAAACCATAAATGAATGAAGATGCAAAGAAAAAAAATGGATAAAAAAAAAACGAAACCATGCATAGAAGTATGTACATATAAATATGACATACGTACTTATCAGATATTTTAGTCTTTGTTTGATAGTAGTGATACGAGAGTCAAGGCTCATAAACAATCAGACAATAATATCAACAACAATCTCATTGTCAAAATGATCCTTACATATAAAAGCTTAACACAACAACAATAATATATCATATTTTGCTCAAATAAAAATAATGATGCCCTTAACAAGACAATCATGAAGGGATTGGGTGCAACAAGAGATAATGGAAAAGAGAAAAATACAATCATAGCACAACAATGATCTTCAACAATAGCAAACGAGCAAGAAGAAAAGTAAAGAATAACTTGAGAAAAAGAGAATGGTATATGTAATGGAATACGCTTGTCATATGATCAATCGTACCCATGAGATTCAAAGCACAACGATTAGCCTAACTTATCATTGTAGTGCGTATCTTTTCTGTTAGCTCTTGATGAACTTCTTTCATTTCTTGTCTTTCTCTTCTCTTTTTTCTTTTTTTCTTCCCTAACCATCCATCCGGTGTTCGAGGTCAACCTAAGCATGTCCGCCCTTGGCTGATACTGATGATGGCTTGGCGAAATTCTGTTTTCCTTGCTCTATTCTCTCGCTCTCTAACTGTAATTATAACATATCCAAATAAATGGAGAACGATACATGAAAAAGAGCAGAACCATTTTATATATACAGATTTTGTTCGCTTCTATTTTCTTTTTTCTTCTCTCTTTCTCTTTCTCTCTCTAACTGATTATTACATAATCTTAAATGCATTTTTTTCACAAACATATACAGGTGAAATCTAACCAAAGTGTGACAAGTTTGAATTTGTTATATTATAACGACAAATGATAAAGAAAAAAAAATGAGAAGAATAATGATAATATTACTTGTAAACCTAATTATATCAGCGTAAAAGTCAAATGATCGGTTTACATTTTTCGACAATAAATGAAAAGAAAAATCTCGTACTTTTTATTGTTAACCGCATTTGAGCCTAACGCTTTAGTTGTTGTTCTTCTCTTCTCACTCACTCTATGTTGTTTAAACTAAGGTCATATGAGTGAGTGAATGACAACAATTCAGACCCTTTTCCTACAGCATTGTGTTGCAGTAAAAAAAAGAAACGAGTCGAGGAATGAGAAGAAGAAAGCAATGAGACACAGAAGAGAAGAAAGTCAATCTCTCAGCACATACATTCATTTGTGCAACTCAATAGAAGACGACGATGAAGTAGTATGATGATCGACGACACAACTGTTGCTGCAACGGATGTTATTTTGTGATTGGAAGAAGAGAATAGATTTCTTTTTTTTTTCTCTTTCATGCACTTTTCTTTTTTGCTTCATCTTTTCGTTTACATACATATATATATTTATTTGTGCAACCATAAAATAATAGTGAACCTCAAGAAAAATACATACATATATATATATATATTTTGTTTTTATTTAAAATTGATGGAATTATTAAGTTTCTTTTCTTAACGTACATTCATTAGTGTCAAGCAAAAAAAAAAAAGAAAAAAAAACGAATAAGATAAATAATTGATTATTACATCATTTATATTGTAGTTTAAAAAGACATCAGACGATGTTTATCATTGCTCGTTATAGATACACAAACCGTAGAAAAAGAAACGATACAATAACTAAACATCTGTCAAGTGCTCGGATGTATGTATATTGTCAAAAAAAAGTTCGATACATTACTCTTTCATTTCTCTCATCACTTCACACATGATTGCGTGAACAGCAAAACAAAAATGACTTTTTACGTTCTCTATTCCTTTTTTATTTTGATTAATAGCAATGATACAAGACTCACATACACCGTTTAACACACACCAACGAGGTATATTTGTGTTTTTTTTTTTCCGTATAACCAAATGGAAGAAAAGAATAGGCAATAAAATAACTATTAGTTGTCATGACAGCTATTAGTTACATAAATTAGATATTGATAGAATCTCAATTATATGGATTTTCTTTTATAATGAAAAAATTTGTCTTCTATAAGAAATCAAAAATATAAATGATTTATGAACATTTGAACATGTCAAAAGTGACATCTATAGAAAAAACACCAAAGATCTTCTATTTCTTGATTAAATTTCATTGATAAAATATTAATTTATAAACTAATTAATAAAAATTTATTATATTTATATGTCTATTTCAATTAGATAGATTCTCATAATAAAATATCCTTGAATTGCTAAGAATTTTTTATACACTATATTGACCTGATGCGAAAAAAAAAAAACGGGGAAACATCTCGAGGAGGCATGAAAAATTAAATCATGGTTATTGACACATTCAGTCGTCATGCTTGTAATCATTTCTTTTTAAAAAAAAAAAAATTGATTTCTCTTTACATTGATTAGTAATCGAAACATTTGTGTAATATTTTTTTTTTTTTAGATCTATTTTTTCCCTTGTTTTTTTTCTTTCTTATTATATTAATATATACATATGTAAATCATTGTCATGGAACAGTGCACTATTGATACTTATCAATGTTATGTATTATTGTAATTGTCTTCTATTCTATTTTATCAAATAAATTTTTCTTCATTCAATGGTTGAACCAGATAAAAAAGGTTTTTATAGAAAAATAAATCATTATGTTTTTTTTTTCTCTCTTGAAAAACAAATTTTTATTTAGATCTTAATAAAACAGCTGATCTTGAAGATACAGTTCGAAATCTTCGAGAAGAAAATGCAAAACTTCTACAATTACTTCGTTCTCGTATGTATACGAAAAAAAGAAAACAAATACAATGTTTTCATTTTGTTTTATAGAAGGACTTTTACTCGATTCTTCAACAAATCAAAATGGAAAATCTAATGATACAATATTTCCAATAACAAATCAACAAAAAGATTCAACTAATTTAACATTTGATCATTCCGATGTAACATTAACAACAAATTCAATAAATACAACAAATCAAATTAATCATCAACATATTAATAATCATGGTTCAATAAATCAACAAACATATAATGGACAAACAATACATGGTAATCAATCAAATATAACACCAAATTTTAATACAGTTATACAAACAACATCACAACCATTTGTACAAAATAGTTCAAATACACTTGTACAAAATAATACAAATTTAATTCAACCAATTAATTTAGTCAATTTTAATAATGTTAGTTTAGATTCTATACAATCATTTTTTGCATCACAAAATAATGTTGTTTATTTATCTCAAACACCATCATCATCAACAACAACAACAACAACAACTACAGCTGTACCAAAGTCTATTATAACAAATACAAATGTAAATGAATCATTACCATCAAATATACATAGTATTTTACCTTCAACATCATCATCATCATCAATTCAAGAAAAATTATCATTATTACATCAACATCAAGAATTAGTACCGGTTATACCGAAAATAAAAGCTGAACATTATGAAAGTATGACAAGACAATTATCATCAACAACAAATAATGATACAACAAATTTAATGGATAGTGATTCAAATGATGGAAAATATAAATGTCCAAGACCTATTCGTCCTAAACCATCATCAAGAACGAATTCTTTACGAGTAAATTAAGAATAGGATTTGTTTAAGACATCTAAATCCTTTTTATAAGTCAATTTTCATATAACTTTCCGAAAATATTCAACTAATGAAAAAAAAAAACAAAATTCGCGACGCGTCTTTTTACTATATTGAAAAGATTTTTGAGAGTTATAATGCAGGAAGAGGTTTTTTAATTTTTTTGGGATGAGTATAAATTCGAAGGCGAATGAATTTGTTTTTTATTAAATAAAAAAAAAATACCTAGTTCACTAAAGCGAACGCTATTAAAATGAAATTTTTCGTAATTTAACAATTAATGCAATTATACATATCGTGAAAAACGTGTGAACATTTTCTTTTTTTTGTATATGTAACTGAAGGACTTTCGGATATGACTGTCAAATATAGATATATTGATGTATCAGTTAAAAATCTATCTAGAATCCTATCAAATGACCTTCTAACTACTACGTAACGACCTATTCGCTGCAGGCTTCTAGATACTTATCATGATTTTTGAAGAAATATTTTCTAAATTAGGATTCGCTCTTATGAATTTTCAAAATTAGAATATCTCAAAGAATCAAACATATTTATTCATCGTTTTTTTAGAAACATCGAATTTTTTTTTTTTTTCGACACAGCGGAAGTCTTCAATCATATGAAATATCTGATATAGTGTATATTGATTTAAATCGATTAATTTATGAACATAATCATTTTTTTTTTTTAATGAATTATATGTTCATTTTAAAAACTATTGAATTGAAAGTTAGCGATTTGGATGATATCGAATATCACCATGAGAAAATCTCTTAGATCTTTATTTGTGAGTTTTTTAGAAAACAAATTTTCGAGAACTAAAAACTTTTTGATTCGTTCAGATTACAGAGTGTATATTGGGTCATCTAGAAGACAGTAATCTTTTTCTGTTTGAAAACGTTTTCTTTTTTGTTCTTCTACAGGTCATTTCAATTTTTCGTTTCTGTTATATCTTCATTTTTGAAAAATCAAATTTTTGATCAAAAAGGCGTTTCCTATAGAAAGAAGCTTTTGATAAAGAGTACAACTAATTTGAATATATTTTGGCAACTTCGAAAAGAAACTTATTTAAGTTAACAAATAACCTATTGGTTCATCATTTAATTAATTTTTTTGAGTCTTTGAAAAGTCTTCTTCACTAGTTTCGAACATAAAAATCAAGATAAAATTTCTAAGTCTATATTTGGAAAGTGCATAGTGTACTGATTCTAACCAATAGCTTTTGACTATTTAGAAATACTTTTAAGCTAGCTGAAACTAAATAAATATTTTGTCTCAAAATTTTCAGCTCGCCTGTTAGACGTAGATTCAAAGATGTAGCCAGGAGTTTTTCATGGAGTACACACCAGCAGGAATATAATTTTTTGTTTCGAAAAATAGGTTTTTATCCATACTTTCCTTTTACTATTTTTCTGGCTTAGCTAGTGTATTGACATTCCTTGTATCACCTGTACATTGATTGATCCTTTGTTTACCTACAATGCATATAGCTGTCACACACAATTATAGTATGACATTAACGCTATTGCTTATAGCGCATAGTTTTATCTATATACATTCGTATGAAAACAAACGTCAAGTAATACAAGCTTGTATATCATAATTTCGTTATAGTACACAATAGAGTTGAATCATAAGCGGTCATAACGACTTTTCTGAAAAATTTTTCTTCTTTTCTTCGATAACCAAAGCGTTAATAGGCGTTCTCTTGACGATACTGGTGCATGAAATGAGCCATATATATATTCTAATAACATTAGCTCAAGGTTCCCGATTGTTTTTGGGAGTGGGGAGGGGGGGGGGGCTACGAATTTGGCAGAAAGTCGACTTTCTACGAGAAATTCGGCAAAAATAACATTGACTTTCTGCAAGAAATTTCACAGAAAGTATCTTTGGTTTAACTTTATTCCAGCAAATGCAGAAGCTTTCTACTGAACTGAACTTTAAAAATTTCGCATAGAGTATTATCAAAAATTCTGCCAGAAAGTCTGAAATTTGGGGGGGGGGGGGGAAGCCTCTCCCCTAATCGGGAACTCTGCACTAGCTACAGCTGACAGATATGGTCTATATTGATATTGTTTAGTGATAACTCTAGAAAGTCCTTCGTAGTTTTGTTAATATGGGGGTTATCAACTCGGGTGAAAGTGGCAGAGACTTTACCTTTGTAATAATATCGAGCTTTCTAGAAAATTATTTAGAACCTTATGGGAATGCGTAGCAGAACGAATATGTCAGTGTCTTAAGTTCTGTTTCTTATCGATACTCTTCATTCGAGCATATTTTCATTTCTAAAATGACACTATTTAAATATAATCTAGGCTTATAATTCTGGTGTTGTTAATGGAAAAAAATCCTCATCATCAACAACAAAAAAAGTTCATACATTGTCGTCATCATCGTTTGTTAATAATAATAATAATAAGTCTTCAACAGTATCAATATTTTCTTCTTCAACATGTTTACCTTCATCATCAACAACAACAAATTATTTATCACAATCATCATCATCATCAGATCATCAAATTGATTTATCATCAAAATTAATTCATTCAAAATCTTTAGATTTATCAACAACAAGTCTTCCAATAACAGGAAATAAAAAATCTAGTAAAACTCGTATACCTAATCGTAATAAAAAAACATCTGTATCATCAACGATTCTATCGTCAAATAATTCCACACTTGTATCAATAGCACCAAATAATAGTCGACCATTAGCACCAGCAATAGTAAATGTTCAACGTTTAGTAACATCAAATAATTCAATAACAAAACGTTCAACAACAAATAAAAAACAATCAAAACGTAATACAAAAACATTTGTTCATTCTCATAGTGAAAATATTTTACAACAAAATTCATCATCACCAATTAATTCATTTGCAGAATCTATATCTGGTTTATTAGAAAATTTTGATCAAGAATTAATTGCATCAAATTTTTTATCACAAACAACAACCAGTAATTTATTAACAGATGAAAATAATTCAATTGTTTCATCAGATCATATGGATTTACAACATATTGTTAATAATAATAATAATACTATACAACAAGAAACTTATCAATCACTAACAACAACAGCAATATCAATGCCAACACTTGATGAATTTAATAATCGACTTGAAAATGAAACAATATTAACAAATCAAACAATAAATGATGTACAAATAACACATGATTATAATGTTGAAAATGAACATATAACATCATTTATAAATGAAGAAGATATGCGTTTTGTTGAAATGAATTTTGATGAAAATATTTTTTTAAAACAATTTGATTTAGATGATCCAGGTATTAAATTAAATGTGCATTCAGATCAAAATATTTTTGCTAATATTTTAACTAATAATAATAATCATAATAATAATGATTTATTACAACAACAAAATCAAATTAATGATCAATCCATAATACATCAAAATCAATCTCTTCCTCTTCCTCTTCCTGTTTATTCAGGTTCATCCTTAATTAATAATAATGTTTTTACAACTCTTGTTCCACTCGGTTCACAACAGCCAACATTAAAAACAAATGCATTTAATAATAATAGTAATAGTACAATATATTTATTACCAGAAGAAGGTGTTCAATTGACGTAAGTAGAGTATTAAATTACGTACTATTGATTCAGAGAATTCTCAGAATCGTTTATTTATTTTGTTTAGTTATGATTTTTATTGAAAATTTTGGGAGTAATAAATCGGAGGAGGAATTTACGGTTTCACTTTATTGACCAATGACTCAGTATAGTTAATGTACATTGATTTATTGGAATGCATCGCTACAAATAGAGCAGAATTTCCTGGAGTTGTTGTCTCAATGTTGAAGCAAACACGAATGTCGTTTTAGTCGATGACTCACTACGCAGTATTTAAACCAATAATACACATCACTAGATTGAATATTATTAATTAGAATCTTCGAGGACTTTTTCCCTTGGATTCCACTATTAATTTAATGAGTATAATACAGAATAGATTTGGAATTTTAATTAAAATTTGGCTTTGGATTGATGTTTGGACAAGACCAATATAAATAATTTGAAATTCATTCACTAATATTGAGACGTCAATGATTTATATTATTTTTTGTCTAAGACTAAAACCAAAGACTAAGGACTAGTTTTCGAATCCTATGATAGTTTTCTGGTTGTCTTGCACCTCTATTAAAGTCGATCTGTATTGATCCTATCTCTGTATGATAAAAAAAAAACAAAAGTCTAAAAGGCTTTAGGCTTGTGCCGTACTGCTGAGAAGTTATGTCCATCGTATTGAATTTTTAACTTGAGGAAACTTTGATGACTTTCTATTAATTACGTAGTATATCTATTCATATGCAAAGTATCAGGCCAAAATTTTGTATTTAGATTTTTTTCGGTAATACCTTGTTGTGTTTAAAAAATTCATTGAAATGCTTAGTACTCTTCAACAGTACGTCATGATCTATATATCTTTAGATTCTTTTTAATATCATTGAGACTTATCAGTAATTTTGAAATCAAGCCAAACGATATCCAATGATTCAAGATTTGTACTTATAATTATTCATTACCACATAGAATGTAAAAAATGAGAATAATAGCTCATTCTTTGATACTATCGCATGCGATCGTATCTCGTATCCTTCTAGAAAATGATCTCATACTAACTAAGGCTAAAACATATTCTAAGAATGTTCATGTCCAGATCTCTTCAAGGCCTAGTTATGCTTGTTTTTGCCGAATTTTCGCTTCGTGCTTCGGTATTTTCTAAAAAATCAAATAATGAAATTTCGATCTGACAACTTACCAAAATGGTCATACTTGCGCTCCTGAGATCCATAGGCACGAATACTTTTAAGTCTTTTCTAGTCTTACGAAAACCTTTTTGCAGGTTCAAGATGACCTGAAACGACGAGTTGAAGTTCGAATAGTTCCCTTTGAAGAAAATCCATAATGTTCTATTATTGGTACAAGGTATTTTTCTCATTCAAAACATTACTATAAACTACAATTGAATATTTCACTAATTGAAGTTTTTCTTAAGTTCTCTCAAAAAAAAAATCCTTTTTCAAAACTATAAAATATTATTCATTTATTTTTTTTTTAAGTGCTCGTCATATTGAACCAAGTCAAGTAGCAACATATGAATCTGTACAATATCAAGATATACTCGATGATTTAGTTATGGTTACAGATCAAGATGCATTGCGACATGCGCAGGCTACAGCCATCGATGATCCATCTGTTGTATCAACAGATTTTTCATTTGTATTACTTGAAGCCGCTAATGAAATAATGAAAAATACAAATATTCAAATTGTTGAAGAAAATCCAACAGCATTTACTGAATTACAATATCTTTATCCTATTGAACAAGAACAAACAAATTTAGAAACACAATTAGAAACTTATCAAAATAAACAACAAAATGAAACTGAACAACAACAACAACAACAATTACACCAACAACCAATTGTTATTCTTGAAAAATTACAATCTGAGATATTACAATCAACAAATCTAACAGAAAATGTTCTTAATGATTCAATTAATGATATACTACAATATAATCAAATACATTCACCTACTGATCATGAGCAATCAACAATAGAATTAATAACACCAATAAAAAGTTTTTCAAATGATCGATTAACAAAATCGCCTTTATCATTAACACATACATATAATCATGAACAAACATCTTCATATTCTCCTATATCAGATACATTAGCAATATCAATAAAATCTCTTCAACAACAAACACAATCAATTGAACCACTGATAAAATCATCTACTATGTTTGAACTAATATCATCACCATCAAATCCTTCATCACCTATTCATAAAGAAATTATTCTTGATTCAGGTCATTTGAATGAATTAAACTATGACAAGATTGATTCATTAAATAATAATCATGATAATAATGATGAAATTGAAGAACTACTACGTGAAACAACAAATAATAACAATAATATTTCTCAATATGAAATTATTGAAAATCAAGGACAAACATCAATAAAAAATCCAATTATTATTGATAATATTGATAAATTAATTGAACAAATTGAACCTTCATTAATAATAACAAATACAAAACAAACAGAATTATTTGAACAAACATTTCTACGTTATCAAGAAAAATATTATTTAAATTTAAAACATCAACAATATTTACAATTAAAAAATTTAACAATTCCAATTGTGAGATTACAATTTCCAATACAAAATGTTTTTATCAAAGAACTCGAAGAACAATCACCTGAACAACCTATTGAACAAGAACAAATTGAACGTCCACCATTAAAAATAACTATACGAACAAAATTACCAAAAATAAATTCACTTGAAGATAAAGTTCAAAATAACAAAATTCATAAAATTAAAAAGAAAAAATCTTATCATCATCAATATAAAAAGAAATCTAATAATAATAATGATAATGATAACAATATTAATAAATTAGAAACTGAATATGCTGGTTTAACACGTTTTGAACAACCATTAGCACAATTATATCATCAACCATCACCACCAACATCTGCTGAAACAGTAATATCTAAAACTGAAATATTAACATCACCATTATCAACTTCACAACAAAATGATTTACAAACACCAACAACAAGTGTTCATTCAGGTTTTATGATTAATGAACAAACACCACCATCAAGTATAATATCATCTATTGAACATAAACAAAGTCCACCACCATTATTAATTAATCAAACTAAAAATGAAAAATTAAACACAAATTATTCACATTTACTTAATTATGATAATAATAATAATAATACCAATGATGATGATGATGATAATGACGATCATCATCATCAAAATAATAATACATTTATAACACCACCACCTGAAATTGATATGAATTTAATGCAACAAAAATCTAATACATATGAAAATTTTTGTCCATTTTCAAATAGTCCAAATAAGAAAAAACATCATCATCATCATAGAAAATCAAGTGTAACAAGTAGTACAAGTAGTAAATCATTAAACAATCTTGATTATGCTATTGATGCACAAGAACTTGAACCTGTTTCACCAACACCATTATCAACAACGAAACAAAAACATTCACATAATCAATCATCATCATCATCATCTAATTGTAATAATACATCACCATCTTATTATGAACATCAACAACAAAAACATGTTAAAGATCATCATTCAAAAAAATCATCAAATCGTTCATCAAGAATAACATCATCACAAATTCATCAACAATCACGTTCAGTAGTAAATCATAATTATCGAACATCACAAGAACCACCATTAATACCATCTATATTACCGGTACCACCACCACCACCACCAATACATATTGATCCATATGCTCAAGCTTATCATCCTTTTGCACCACATGTACCAGCACCACCACCATCAGCATTTTTTAATTATCCATTTCCACATCCATTTCTTAATCCACATCCATCAACAACATCAGCTCATTTTCATCCTCATTCTATGAAATATCATCATCATATTCATCCAGCTCATGCATATCCACCACAATATCCTTATCATGCTCATTTACAAAGGCAACAACAGTATAATAATTCCAATTATATGTGTAAGTTTATAACTGTTTTTTTTATCTTTTCAGTCCTATTGTTTGACTAGTTTTTGAGATATCGAAAACTTACTAGCATTTATCAAATGAACATCATCTTAGTCAAAAAAAAATGATATGACATCTGAAAAAGTTTTCTCGTCAGCCGAAGAAAATTTGTGAATTGCCCAAGGTATCATATATTTTGCTGCTAATGTTTATCATAATCATATGAGAATATAATAATGAAAACCTTGAGAGAAAATATTCATAGGCTAAATATTGTCAAGAACACTTCATGAGAACTTGAACACAGTCATTTCATTGATTTTGCTTTAGCTTTTTCATGTTCAATACATTCAGAAGCTAAATTCATACTAGATTTGACACAGCAAGTCCTCTGACCGATAAGTCACTTTTAATCTAAGATTATGCGTATCACGTAAATCCAAATGAATTGTAAATATTCGGAGTTGCGTGTTCTTTGCTTATTGTTATAGAGATACTGGACTTTTATGGTATTCGTTTAAATGATTGCTATGGTGTTACCCTTAAGGATACCAGTGAGGCTGATCTCTCATATAAACCGGCAGATTTAATCTCTTATTTCAGGAGAGAAGCAAATAAGAAAACCTAAAAGTTTCACGGATAACTATTTTCGTTAGGGTCTCTCTCAATGGAAAGTTTCAAGTCAAAATTTCTGAAAGAACTACGGTATTCATTTAAAAAATATCATAAAAGCGAAGTATCGTTGTAACAATAAGTTAAGAGCACGAACACTTTATTAGATATTCATAGCTCATTTCAATCTTCATCATGCATATAATCTCGATTTCAATATGATTTAATCAGTTGAAGAACATTCCTCGTAAGATCACTAGGCATAGTTGTATTGTCGTGTTTTGATATCTTCTTGCATCGGCAAGTGTTTCAAAACTTAAGCAACTTAAAAAAAACTATGCTTTATAAAATATGCCAGTACTGAAAAGGTTACACATTTCTAATGAAAGAAAACAAGAAGTGATTTCGATGCACGTTAAAGTCTATCGTTTCGCTATTATATACCTATATTTTCCCTGAGGAAATAAAAATCAAATGAATAACACTTTACATTAATGACAAATTTTGATTAGATTTTTCTAAATCATCTCTACATCAAACTACAGAAAAGATTTTTGATTTATCAATTGAAATCTATTTTATATTATATTAATAAAGTTCTCTTGTTTTTTCGATTTTAGCTGCTCGTGATCATCATCCATTCGACAGGTAGCAAAGTCTTTATTCTCATTTTATTTTCGTCTACTTTTCAAAAAGCAAAAACGAACAAAAAAAAAATACTAAACAGCAAATCATCGACGTGACAATCGATATGCGCAGATAATTATTAGTGTATTTGTATTCCAGTGACTTTTCTTCTTTTTCTTTTTTTTTCCTCTTTGGCAGTTATGTATACGTATTAATAAATGAATTAATTTTCTTTATTGATGACCACAATGAACTATAACCCTTTTTAAAAAAAAAAAGAAAAAGGAGACTTGTGTCTCTCATCTTTCTCACGCTCTTTGCATTTGTTTTTCTTTTTTTTTGTATTATGTGTGAAGATTGAAATCTTTGTTAATCTCTCGGTATTATTCATTTATATTTGTTTTTCCTTTTCGTATTAATACTTGATTGAAAAGAAAGTATTTTTGTGGGATGTATTGAATCTTGTTTTTTTTTTTTTTCTTACACAACGATGACAATGCGAGTGTTTTGTACAGTTGAGATATTCTGTTTGGTTGTTACACATATGTTATAAAAGTATTTCTGATCGTGTTTTCTTTTCTCATATGTGTATTGATGTCACATTTTTTTAGTCTTGTTTAAACTCAAAGAGCTTGTGTGCTAGTCCCCCTATGTTTTTTTTTCTCTTTCCATTGTAAACATAATTACAGATTTTTGCTTTATTCAAATGTGTCCTACAGTGCCGCTTGTTCGTTGTGCTACTAGGCTAGCCATTTGCTTTGTTTTTTTCTTGCCAATCGAACGACGAATCTCAATTTATGCACGATAGTGCGTATTAATAAAACGATGATGACGACATTTGAAAAGACTAAACTTCTCCATCGAGTTGCTTATCTTCTTTCGTATCTCTGTACAAAATAATATTGTTTCTTTTTGGAAAATATATAAATTGTTTTTCTTTTCTTTTTTCCTCTTACCCTGTGTGAGATTTTTTTTTTCTTCTGTTCGAAGTTATTCTCTTCACAAAAATTTTTCTTTCTTTTTCTGTTCAATGTGTACGCGCATGTGTGCCAAGCCGCTCGGCTCAAAAATAAAAATCTCAATTTGGACAAATCAATACATATGATAAGACATGTGATTGTATTTATTATCAACTAATATTTAATAATGATCGTTGAATAGAAAAAATTGAGTTTATAAGACTAAAAAATAGTAGATTAATATGAATGAATTAAAGAAAACTCTGTCATTACAAAACAGTTAGCAATATTGAGAGCATGAGACTAGAAAAATTGTAAACGAAATGGTTTATGTTTTATGGGAATAAGGCAAAGAGTGTACAAAATAATTAGTCAAGTACATAAATAATTGTCTAACTAATAATGAACAACTTCGAAAATAATGGTTGATATTAGGTACACATAATGCAAAAATCAAATGAATTTTTCTCGCTTCGTGATATACTCTTCGGAGATCCGGACATTTGTTCGCTAGGACAGTTGCTTGCTAGAGGACCCTGTGTAACTGTTACAGCGAGCAAGTGTCCGCGTGCAACTGTCCTAAACCCACTCTTCGATAGAGCAACAAAAGTTGTTGAGAAGTATATAGGATGTCCAGTAAGTACCTCAACAAAGAAAAAGTTGAATATATCCATTACCAGGCCTCGTAGCGATCCGTTCTGAGTATATAGGAAAATATAGGACTTTAAAAGCAATATTTTTATAGGATTTTTATAAAAATATAGGAAATATATAGGACTACTTTTTTTCCACAAGAAAGCTTTTAGCAGAATTGCCAAACATTACAATTGCTCCTACGATCATAAACAGTTTATACTCAAAATTATCAAGTTAATTGAAAACGAATATATATATATATTTACACATTTCAATTATTGAAGAAAAGAGATTTAAGAGAGTTCGATCCAAAAAACGTTAAAAATCATATAATAGTCTCTAGTTGATTTATTAAAATATTGTTGACTAATATCTTTATAAGAATAATATAAAATAGAACGTAAGAAAAATGCATAGAAAAAACACCTAAATATATTTCTATAAACAACTTATATTCTCTGACTAGGGGGAGGAGGGCGCAAGGCGGTCAAAGCAGGTGTGGAGGTACTTTTGAATATGGAAAAACATGTGAACAACCCGTGTTGAATACAGATGACTGGTGTATGGATGTGTGACTAATTCGAGTAAATTTATTTCATTTGTTCGGTCAAGTGTATTTTTTTCGAAAATGAAGAAAAGTGTGTCTGAAGTTTCCCAAAAATGATGGGAAGTTGTTCTCATTTTTGAAAGGTTTGAGGCGGTACTATGCCCTCACTCTCGCCCATGTCACTCCTATATCTATCTTCGTGATTATTGACATTGAATAGGTTTAAAAATTGCATAAATAATTATTTGCAAATATATAAATGAATGACAGGAAAAAATCTCTTTCACTTGATACTAGGATTAAATCAACTTAAGTCTTTTGTTTCTTGTTTTGTTGCTGTAGTTATTTAGCAAATGCAACTTTTCTTTTCTTTTGAGTAGTTATTAAATAATGAACTGCACCGAACTCCAAAATTCAATTACGATTCCAACGAAGTGGCTAAAATTGTTTTTTTCGGAGTCAATCTCGGAATTATACCCGTAAAACAGTCAGGGTTTTTTAGTTCTGCCTAGCCGTAACTTTCTTATTGATATTTTTTTGACTAATGAAAAATTATAACTACTATTTTTAGCATTATGAATAAGTTTCAAGAAATGTTAGTAACATTAGAGAGATTCATGCTTACAAATAGCAAAAAAGCGTTTTTTTCTGAAAACGTTTTTGGTCATTTTGTTTCTGTGGTTTCTGAAAACCCATCACCAAGAATAATGAATTCTACAGTAATATACGATGTTCACTATTTACTGATTCGTTTAATTATTCATTTGCAATAATTTTACGCATCAAAATGATATTAATGTCGCCAAAATGCAAAAAAACCTTCGAGGCTGGAGTCTAAAATTTTTTTGTTTGGATTAGACGAGAAATGTTTTGGGAAATTTCATAGTAGGAGTCGCGGTTTAGATCCCAAAATTTTGGCATTGCAGTTCACTATCATGAAGGCTTCTGTAACTTTCGATCACTTCTTACTTATGAATTTATTTCTCTTATCATCACCATCAATTAATATTATACTATCGTTACATGCTATCAGTTTTATTGTGGAAGCTAATGGTAATTTATACAGAAGAGTGTGTATATTTTCTGACTGAAATATGATTCGCTTCAGAATAATCTTTACTTTTTCGAAATATATAGGAAATATAGGACAAATACCTAAAAAAGAGGACATTATAGGATTATTTCTAAAGATATAGGAAATATAGGAAATATAGGACGACTACGAGGCCTGACTATTATTGCATATGTCAGAATAATCTGGCTCTTGAATCTTCAGAATATGAATGTATATCTCACTTTTGGCTATTTTTTAATAGTCGTGAAAACAACGGTAATCTTCAATATTTCGATTAAATAGGTATTCAAGTAAAGACAATATTTATTTGTGTCTATTTGCCCAATGATGGTATATCAATAATATATGACCCTGTCATACTTCCTCTGTGTCGTGAGAAACATCACAATATGATTAAAGATTAGATTCTTTGATTCGCTCTTATTTCATACTAAAATGAAATATATATATATATTTGAAACTTATGATTTCATTCATAATAGCTTCTTCATTTACAGCTGTATTTTGTTTTTGAATAATGCAATAATCAATATGAAAAATCATGAGAAGCTTACTAGTTTCTAGGATTTCTTTAAACACTTTACTGATTAAAGTCAGATATTTTAAGTAAAGTTAATAAGCGACCAATGTTTTTTTTACGCTCTTTTCGATACGAAACTGACTGATATTGTAAACTATTGAGTATTTCTCTCTAGCTTATTGATAATTTATTCATTGAACAAGCCATAGTTAATGTCAATGTTACCACTTCAATAACCTCCGAGTGATATTTTGAACAGCTAAGATCATCACTTGATTTCAAAAAACAAAAGACAAGTAATTGACATGCTATAGTTACCTCTGTTTTTATATTCTTCCACTATATTCTCGTCATGACTATCTCTGTTTACATCAGAGATGTTCATCGCAGCTTGAATTCTGCCGTGTTGGTGACGTCGGCGTCGTCATGAATATCTCTGATTTGTAAAGAGCAACTTATTATAACAAGAATCATTTGACTTTGATTTCTGCTTTTTTAGTAGTCTCATCTATAAGCGACATAAACCGTCAGTTAGCGACATCTTTTCTTATGTCATTGAGTGAAACATAAATCAAAAGCAAGTAAATATATTTTATAGTTTTAAAAATTATATTTAATAATTAAAATAAAATTAATCAAAAGTGGTGGTACCCTTGAACGATCAAAGAGGTTGTTTTGGCTCCAAAGAAAAGATGGCTAGAAAAATTTATTACATTTAAACGGGCATCTTAAGGATACCCATTCAAATTATCTTTTTACCTTTGCAAATACAAATGTCATCTACTGAAGTTCCTGTTATACCTTCTACTTCTATTACAGTTCGTTTTTTTCTTACTTTTATACTTGTCATAGAAAATAGACATAAATATATATATAATTTATTTTTCTAGGAGCGGTTACCCGCTATTCCTATTCGACCTAGAGGTATAAAGAAAAGTATAACTCATATTATCGATTTTTCCTATGAAGAGATTTATATGTTTAGTTTTTCATATTGTTTCACCTTTAACGGGTTCCAAAGCAACAATTATAACTACTGATACAACTTCTTCACCTAATCATGCACCTGTACTTATTCAAGCAGCTCAACGAATAGTAGATATAAATATTGTTCTGTTTTTTTTTGTGTATCTTTGTTTTTATTACTATAGAATCGTTCTTCACTCGGTCAAAATTCAAATCCACGTAAACGTGTTTATCCGTTTACTCAAGAATCAGATGCAAATGCTTAGTATAAAATTTTTTTCATATGAAAATTATTATTATCTTTTTTTTGTTCAATTATTTATTTATTTTTTCTAGTTTATCAACATTAGCTGCTCATCGTCATCGTGAACGTTTATCAAAAGGTTTAAGATATTTTTCAAAAAAAGTTTGTAATAAAGTTCAAGCAAAAAAAATTACATCCTACAATGAAGTTGCTACAGAACTTGTTGGTGAATATACAATTGAAGAAAAACGTAATTTACAATTACCTGAAAATGAATTAGTAAGCCACTAGAAGAAGAAAAAAAAAAGAAAAGATGACGAATTTTTTAATTTTATTCTTATTAAAAGGCTTATGAACAAAAGAATATTCGACGACGAGTTTATGATGCAATTAATGTTCTTCTAGCCATGAATATTATTACAAAAGATAAAAAAGATATACGTTGGGTTGGTTTTCCAGTTAATGCACTTTTTGAATGTGAACTTATTGATGTAAATTTTTATTTAGAAAAAAAAATTTTCTCTTTATTACATATGACTTCATTTTTTAGAAAAAAACAATTGAAATCAAAGAAACAATTCGAGAAAAAGTTCAATTAGTTGAAGATGCTTTATTAAAAGTAAATAAACAAGATTTAAATTATATTAAACTATTGAATATCAACGTACAGAAGTCTGTATGCTTTTGTTTTTTTAGTGTTTCTGAGTTGATGCACTTGTAATAGAATTTCGAGACGCAATCATGTACTTTTGTCAGCTAATCTTAAATATCTCATTAAATGGATGATCAAAAAGTTTTTAGACAAAATATTTGTTTAGTTTTGATCGATTAGAAAGTATTTTCCACAAGCTAAAAGCTACGGCTTAGTGCTCTTATCAAAGTAGACTTAGAGAGTTTTTGTCAGCTTTTGTTCAAGAGTAATAAGGCTTTTTTTTTTGTTTTTGAAGGTCTTGGAAAATTAATTTTAATGGTAATCCAGCAGAGTTTTGTTTGTTCTATAAATCTGTTTTCGAGAAATGGTAAAAATTGTTCGAGCTGGTGATTTTATAGAGCCTACACTTCGCTACAAAATGTCATATAGAACTAAGCTATAGCTTTTAGTCAAGTAGTTTTCAAGAGTGACTTTCAAGGTAAAGCAGTTGTCAATGTTTTCACAAATGAGTATTTAGAAAAAAAACGAAAACTGATGTGTCTTGTCCAAACAAAAGAAAAAGATCTCCGAAATCTAAGTTTTGTATGATAACTTATGATCAATATGCTAATGTATAAATAAAAATTCCAACTTTTAGTTTCAAATTGCAATTTGTGAAAATACAAAAATATTCCGTGCAAACTAATTTTTTAGGCTGTTCACATGGTTTTGAAAAAAAATACCTCAAACTTCAAAAGTAACGATCAATCGTAACATAGCTCTGTTTCAGAAAACGTTAGCACCTAATACGTCCGTTTCATTTTGTAGATAGCAAAGAATTAGGAATTACAAAGCATTTTACAGTAAAAGAAACTAACCTTTTATATATCACGAACTATCTAGAACAAGACGCCTAAACTTATTATAGGTGATAAAGTATTCGCTGATAAAATTGATTAAACACATGTAAAAACCCTTAAATATATCGCGATCGAATGATAATACCCAAAGGGTAAAATTTGTAGAAATTGAATTAGATTTTATAATATTTATTACATTTCTATAGTTAGTTGCACTACGTAATTTAATTCGTCGTAATGAACAACGTCGAGACATAATGCGCTTCAATAATATGTGTTCATTGCCTTTTTATGCATTTGGTACATCCAATGGTGCATCAATTGAAAGTTCATTTTCAAGAGATGGGTACGGAAGAAAAAAAAAAGGATTTACCTATAAATCAAATCGTATTTTATTTTAGTCGAGATACAATTCTAACATTTGATCGTCGAGTAAAAGTTGTTAATGAAACTGAATGTTTACATAAACTTGGTTTATCAAAAGAACTTCGTGGTGATGTCAAAACTCAATATACTATTGAACAAGCACGAGCACTTTTACCAGAAGCATTTTGGGATTTTGCTACTGGTAAGATTTCTTATTGTTATTATGATAGGAAACAAATTTGCAATCAAAACAAACAAAAAATAAATCTTTTATATTGAAATAACATTAGCAAAATTGATTAATATTGAATAGATAGCAATTACTTTCTTTTTCTCATAGAAATGGCTATGACTGGTACGTTAAAAACATTATTTGAAACTCGAACATCATCAAATGTAAAAAGTCGAACATCGACGGCATCAACAACACCCGTTGTCTTTGTTCCACCATCTTATTTTAAAGTTGACGGTAAGTCTTTTCAATTAAAATCAGCGAAAGAAAAAGTATTTTTGGCTTATCAACTGATGTATGAAGACTACGATTCATATTTCATATTGTATTAATTCTAGAGAGATTTAATCTTTGAAGTCTTTCAAATAATAAGAAAATTAGTTTAAAATCACACTATAAGTACAAATGACGAATTCTAACTAAGTATTTTTCATTCTTATTTGTCTCTGGAACAAGTCATGCTTATAAAACTTTGCTTCTTTTTTAAATTCATATAACTAGAGATGTAAGCTAATTGGTAGAGCCATTACCGTCAATACTCTGACGATTCAGCCGCGCCATTAGAGTATAAAAATAGATAATAGATTTTCGACGTTCTTGACTCACGAGAAAACCTCATCAGCCGTTCCGTTCCAATTTCAATGATTTTTTTTCTGTATAGATACGCATCGTGCTCTAATAAAGATTCTAAAACAATTAAAGTTCTTATTGAGATGTTACCAAGTTATCGAATTTTTAATGCCTATTTCCTCGAGGGATCACGTTTTCGGAAAACTCATATTTGGGAATTTCGATTAAAAACTTTGTGTATATAGAGAATTTAACTAGATTAGATTCCATAAAAAAAAATTAGAAGTTTTGAACAATATCTCTTCAAGATATGAAGCTTTCAAAAAATTCCTTTTGTTTTCAAAGAAAAGGGTCTATATGTTGAAGAGAGTTTGTTCAAAACTTTTGGATTTTTTCATGGAGCCTAGTCTAGTTGGCTGTCTATATGTGCAAAGTATAATATCAATATTCAAAAATACGAATTTTCCAATGACCCGAGATCTCTGGAGAATAAATAATGAAAGTTTGGATAGATTAGTCAAATATCAATGGAAACCTAAATCCTTTTAGAATTATTAAAACACTATTGTGTCTATTAGTTTAAAAAAAATCATTGAAATCAGAAGGAAGCTGCTGAAGAGGTTTCTTGTCAGTTTTCGGAAATGTTCTCGTTTAGTTTCTTTCTTGTCTTTAAATCCCATAGAGAAAAAAAATATGGTAAAAAAAAAAAAACAGCATCAAAACCTTTTAGCTATCGATGCCAACAAAAAAAAAATGCTCTTACGAGGAGTACATCGGTTTACAGCTCAACATATAATTGAGTTAAAATGTTTATGTTGTCATTTTTAGACGAACCACAAGAAGTCGAATATGAAGAAGAAGAAGTATTCGAAGAAGATGATGATGTTCTTTCTATATCAAGTGATGAAGATGAAATTGCTCAAACATCTTCACCTATCTGTTAATGTAATTCTTGTTAAATCTATTTTCTTTTCAATGTTTGCTTTTCATAACATATTTCGATTTATTAAAGAAATTAGGAGAAAAAAAAAATCTATAAGGGAAGGCAACACAAACAGAAATGATATGTGGATGTGTTTTTTTTCTTGTTGTTGTTGTTGTTCTTTTAATCTGTTGATTTCTTGTTTCTTTTTTTTTTTTTTTTTTTTTGTTGTATTATTAAATTAATTATTTCATTTCTATGATAATTAAGAAAAAAATTAAAATGATAAATAAGGAATTTGATATAAGTGAACATGAGGATTTTTCAGCTAAAACTGTTATTGATGATGAACGACCATGAAGAACACATCGTTCTGAAAGAAAATCAAATAAATAGTTTTAATCTTTTTATTTTTTGCAATAGCAAAAAATCTTTTACCAAATTCTTCTAATAAAACTGGTATATAATGTTCCCAAAATGCACAAAATTCTGCACGATGTGCAATACCAGTTGATTTATTAAATACATCAAGTATAATATGTTTTCGTTCAGGATACGTATAAACTGGCCAATCACCAGTAGTTGTGATCGATAAACCATTGGGATTTCTAGTGAAAAAATAAATTAATTCTTCGTGTTTTTTTTGTCTACTTTTCTTACTCATATTTTGCAAAATTTGTCCAATATCTCATAACTCTTCTTGCTAATTGCATTTCTTCATATTTATATGTTTTATTATCAGTTGTATTCAAGGGCTCACCGAAGACAAACATTATTTCATCGCTGTTAAAAAAAAAATAAAAGAAAACAACAAAAAGATAAAATAATTTCAAAAATATTCTATATCGTACGCATGCATAACACCTGTCCATGTATGCCAATCGCTTGTTGATGGTCTTGCAACAAAATGATAAAAATAAACAGACATATTATAACTTGCATATGCATTAGCGACAGCAACTGTTGGACATGTAAAATGAGCATCACCTACAGCATGACTTAATATAACAGCATTTCGAATATTATTTGACCAATCCGACCAATCTGTATATTTATGAATTAATGATTGAAGAACAACACGAGGAGTTTTAAATGGATATGCTGGAATATATGTATAATAAAGTTCAAGATGTTTTAAAAATGTTGCATAATTAACATTTGGCATAGCATTACCGGGCGTTTTTTCATTACCTTGAGCATAAACCATGAAATAGGAACCTTCATCACGATTGGCACCTAATAGAAGAGGACATTTCTAAAATATAAATTGAATAAAACTATATATAGAGAAAGATATATGATAGAAATAAAAATATAAAACCTTAAAATTTCCTGTTTTAAGCATTGTTATAGGATCATCAGGTAAAAATGTTCCATCAATAACTGGCATAAGAAGAAAAAACATAGGACCACCATCTTGAATAGTATATTCAGCATTTGTTATATAAGCATAATGATCTTCATCTATAATTGGATAATTCAATGCACATTCAAACATAATTTCAATATTATCAACATTTGCACCTCGTTGACATATTTCAGGTATTTTTTTACGTTCATCACGAAATTGTTCATCAGATAAACGTTTTGTAACAAGTGAATAAAATTCAAATAAATATTTATGTGAACGTCGACGTGCTTCTTGTGCTGTTATAAATGCCCAATTACATGTTGGTCCACCACTTTGTAAAATAGCACTAGAAAATAATGATCGACTACGTGGTGATAATAAATGAAAACCAACAGATACAGCACCAGCTGATTCACCAAATAATGTTATTCGTTGACTATCACCACCAAAATAACCTATATTATGATGAATCCATTCTAAAGCAAGAACTTGATCATATAAACCTTGATTACCTTAAAAATAAAAGAAATTTTTCATAGAAAACAATGTTTTATTATATTTGAATTTATTTAAATATATCTAACCAGGTGCATCAGGTCTATCAAGAAATAAAAATCCAAAACTTTGTAAACGATATTGCATAGAAACAACAATAACATCATTTGTTGCTGCTAATATTCTTCCATCATATATATCTAATGTACTTGAACCAGTAACAAATGCTCCACCATAAATCCATACAAGTACAGCCATGGATGTTGGATGATTATCATTAACTGGTACCCAAATATTTAAATATAAACAATCTTCACTACAATTTGTATTTGGTGACCAGATTTTTTCAGCTTCAAGATTGTAAACAATTTGTTCAGTTTGCCAACATGTTGTTGGTAATTGTGTTGCATTAAGTATACCAGACCATGGTTCAATACGTTCGGCTATTTTAAAACGACGTGTACCTAGTGGTGGTTTAGCAAATGGGATACCAAGCCAAGTACGAACATGATAAAGACGAGATGAATCTGATGTACGAAAATATGAATCAAGACCACGTATACGACCTGAATTTGTTGAACGAATAAGTGGATCGTTGGATGTTGAATAGGATAAGGATGAATTAAAAATGTACATTATTATTATAAATATAATTCGAAGAAACATCATTATTGATATTTCTAAGCATATCGTTAGTCGACTTTTGTCGTTGTTCTATTCGAAAACGAATCATTGAACAACAATTGCATCGACGCTTTAGTTCACATTTATATTGATAGTAACTGTCAATAATAAAGATAATGGAATACGATGGTAGAATTAATTCTAATGGAATAATATGATCAGACAATAATGGTGATAACGTTGTTTGTAGAGGACGTCATAGTTTTTTTTTTAATAAACAAATATAACAACACTTGTTATGCATTGATATTGAGATTGATAGACGCACATTGGTAGAAATATTATGATCTTGAAGATATATGAATGATAAAATATAAAACATAAAAAAATAGAAAAGTTAAAATCGATGCTTTTATTTTGATGCTCGTTAGAAATTGTGATGACCTTAACCAATATTGGCACTTTACCCTAAATAGAAAATGAAAAGCTCTTCCCTTTATAATGTAACTAAGTAAACGTGAAGTCAAATCATTTATTTCCTTCAATTATATTATACATCTGAATCTAGAGTAGAAAATCTAGAAAAAAAAACAGATATCCTACTAATGCGCAAAAGATTATTCTACTGGAAAATATTCGAATATATGTGCTCAATCTAGTGATAGAAAGGCGGTCGGAAAGGAGAGAAAGTCAATGTTACAACGGTAGCGGCAACAATAGTAGCAAAAAACGGACGAGAGAACGGAATTGAATGAGAGTGGCTCTTTCCGCTGTTGGTAAGAGCAAATAACAAGAGACTTCGTTTCTTACCCTTTATCTTTTTTCTATATGCGCTTCTACTTATGTTCAATTATGCACCTCGACATCTACATTTACAAATGCGGGATATATGATACAAAAGAGTTAAAGCAAACATTTTTCAATATAAAGAAACGAAGAAGAAGAAGAAGAGAAATCGCGACTAGGTGATTGCTGTTTGTTTTTCTATGTTTCCTGCTAAACTGTCAAATAAAAAAATCAGTCAGCAAGGACTATAATCACTCTGTCATCATCATCATCATCATCATTTCTAGTTTTTTTTCTGATTGCTGATACTACAGATTTTTTTTTGTTCTGACTAACAGTCATGTAGATCATCTTCTTATTGCTGACAATCGGATGATGATATTTCCTTTTCGAAGCAGAACTTTTCCTTTCTTTCACTCGCTCTATCGTCGTCGTTGTCGTTTCTTTCTTTCTAGTTGATTGCCTTTCTCTTCGTTTCTCATATGATTTTCCCTTATACTCTCGCATTCATTCCCTAGTCAACTCGTTTCACCATGTTCTACTATTGAAAGAAAAAACCGAGCCTTCAATTTGTCTCTCTATACTTATTACTGATCGTCACATCCTCAGAAGAAAAAACAACATGATCGAATACGATCGAATGAATCTGCCAAACGAAATAAGCACAATTATAAAGTTTTTCTCGTATACGGTAATCAGAAAATTGTTGACCATATCAAAGAGTTTTCCTCTCAACTCACATCTTGACATTATTGAAGTGTACAAAACTGATCCAAAAAAAAAAAGATTTCTTCATACAAATAGAGAGAAATAAACAGAGAAAATATTAGTGATAAAACTCACCATTGTCGCAGGTCCTCGAATGAATGACATTGACAAATATTAATATAGTAAAAAAACTATTTAATCTATATGCATGTTAACAGAGTGACAATGATGGCCCGAAAGAAATATAACGACTTTCCGAAGACTCAAGATCAAACTAATTTGGTTCAAGGACAATTTTTTTCAAAAAACAATCGAACGAGATAAAGAAAACAGTATGGGTTGTTATTATTAGAATCGTTTCTATATATTTACATTTTGTTTTGCTATATGTGATGTTGTGTCTTATCGATGGATGACTTTTTTTTTTTCTTTTTACCAAGCTTAAACGTATTAATCGTCTTGATTTTATGTCTACAATACACGAGAGATATAATCAATTGCATCTATATGTGTGTGTATGATTGAATTTACAGATTCATTCAATGTTAATAATTGTCTATTTAGAGGAAAAAAATGATATAATCGATATATATTTATATATCGATTCTATTGAAAGTTATATATAAATTGATATATTTGGTGTTTCATACATATATATATGACTAGATTCTCTTTAAGATGTTTATGAATAACATTGGTATATAAATAATAGATAATTGAAAATGTTCATATGAAGCTCTTGTTTTTATTAGGAGTTAGCGTGACACTAAATTAGATGAGTTGGCTTAAGGCGATGTTTTTTGAAATCAGGATAAGCTTAAATCAGATTTACTCGAAAGAAATGAATAAATTAATATTTTTTAATTAAAAGCCTTTAGTGATCGGAAAGAAAACATTGTAATAGAATATTCCCAATCAATATTTATGTTTTCACTAGTAAAGCAAAAATAAAATGAATGTATTCTTGTTAATACGCATAAACTCGATGGTAGATTGCATCTCTTAGAGATAGTAAACCTAATCTATGTTCATAGTCTTCAAGAAGGTTATTTTTTCCAGATAAAATAATAACAAAAGCGATATTATCATGTGATTGAGTTTTCTTTTTTTAGTCTATTTCTTTGACTTTTTTTTTCATCATTTCACCATTTGTTTTTGTATACGTATAAGATTTAGTCATACATATGAAAATAGAACTTAGTGTGGAAGAACATCTTTCAAAAGTTCAAGTCTGATAATAAAATCAAATGCAAATTTTGTTCTATAAAGCATAATTGAATAAAAATAGTTTAATAGTATTTTTTTCTGTATTACACTCACAACAATCATGTACAATTTGTTGTTTTCCTCAGGCATAAAAACAAGAAAAAAATCAAGCATTGCATTTTTCAAAAATTTCAATTTAACAAAGAATACGTCTATTGAATCATTTTTCATTCAAAGGCAGAAATAAATTTTTCAAAAAAAATGTAATTTAGATATTTTGAAGATGAAAAACATATTTATCATTGTCTTTTCTAGTTAAACTAGAATACAAAAAACAAAAGAATTGAAAAAATTTTTCTTTCTTTATATTAATGTCATTTGAAATCAATGTTAAACATTTACAAATATTCACAAAACAGAAACGACATTGACAAACATACCGACTAACAATTATATATACAATTGATTAATTCTATGAAACATTCAACAGATGATGGTGTTTTGCAAACAAATATTTTACAAGCATTACAAAAAAATAAAATTATTCAAAATAAATTAACTGAATGTCAACATTTATATTATATTCAATTAGTAAAAGATCTACAAATTTATAATTTAAAAGAAAAATATAATCGAGAATTATTATATACATGGAAAAAAGAATCTTATATACGACAAATAAAAAAAGATTTACAAGAATATGAACGTCAACGTTTTGGAATGAGAGATGATTATTATGAAAATCAACTTAGAAATTTAGATAATGTCATCGCTGGTGAACAAACTCTTGTTATACCACCAAGTGAAGAAAAACGTCGTTTAGATATAAATGCAAAATATCATCAATTTCTTCTAAAAAATCCTCTTCAAAATTCACCATCAACGCGTCTTAATAAATCAGCAAATATTTCTTTTCAACAAAATAGAAATAATAACAATGAAGAAGAAGAAGAACAAGAAGCTATTCATACTTTAGAAAAAACTTGGGAACATATTCATGCACAATCTGCTAGAGTGTCAAGACAAAAACAAAATACTACTTTACCTACAATTCATTGTTCATTAACAATGAATGAAATTCGAAAAAATAGAGCTTCAGCAAAAAGTCATATTCCATCAATATCAGATAATTTATCAAATATACGTGTTACACAATCTTTTGATTTACTTAATACACCATCCCATGAGAAACTTCAACAATCACCACGATCACCTGCTAAATTAGCACCCAATCATTCGGGGTTATCTGATAGTATTGAACCTCTACTTATTACCAGTGAAACATTAGACAATTATGCTCATGCTGATCTTATTTCAATGCGTAGTGTACGTCGACCAAGAAAAGATCCTTCGGATTTAAATTTGTTATTTGAAACACGTAAACGAATTTATGAAATAAATAGACGTGCTTTAGATTATGAATTAAATCAAAAAAAACGTGGATTACGAAAACCTATTCAATTTGATCGACTAAAACAAATAGATACAATTCATCATAAAGAAAATTCACTTGTTAATATGAATGAAAATATTGAAGAATCTTTTGACGATAAACATTAATATGATAAAATAATTGTTTAGAAAAACGAAAAACAAAAAAAGAAATTTATTTATTGTTAGTTAATTTTCATTAAATAGTTCAAATTTTTTATTTATAATATCACATACATAGCAACATTTTTATTGTGATTTAGTTAATTTCACGAGAGTGTTGTTTATTTTTACAAATATGTGACAATGAAATTTATGCAGTAAAAAAAAACATGTTAAATCACAGACGTTAGTAACTGAGAAAAGAACAGATGCATTACTACGTAACTATTTTCGCATGTTTTTTTTCTCTTAAATGAATCTTGAAAAGAAAACATTAACATTTTCTCAATCACTTTCAATATTGAATTATGTAACGCTTAATTTAATATTGTTCATCTACTCTAACTATAATTCCTCTTCTGTTTTTAAATAGACGAAAAGTTATTCGAATTTTAACTAGTTTTTAAAAATATTTTAGAATATATTTTGAGATTCGTTAATGATCCTATCATTATCATAGAGCACACTTTCTTATTGAATTTCATCATCATCACACAAATATATAATGCCTAAAAATGTTTCAAATAAGATGAGATATTCAAAGGACATTAAATAAAAGTTTTATAGAGTTTGTTTGAGAAACTGCCTATTCAATTATCTATAGACTTTTTTCATAACGAGCATTTTCATAACAAGTATGGTAAAGTTCATTAGGGCTTAAATTTCTTATTTCTTGTAGAAAAATATCCAGTTTTGGCTGGTCTAGAGAAAGCTGTGAGCATGCATTTTTGTAGACTTGAATCAAACAAATTCAAGTTTAAATGAATTCAGATCCACATTTGAGTTATTTTTCATTAGGGTCTCTTGTCTTCTATCTAAGTCATTAAGAAAATCATTTAGATTTCAACTAGTCATTGTTTACATTCAGAAAAAAGTCAACGCCAAGTTATTTCTGATTTTTTTATCCTCTTGTAGCTTCATTTTGAACACATTCAAAGTTATTCACTTATTTGAAAAGACTGCTGTGTTATTGGAAAAAACTAAATTCAATAATGATTATCGTGAATAAACAATATTCATCATTGAAAATTATCTAATTGACAATAGTACTAAAATCTTCAGTCACATACGGTAGTTTTCATTACAATCATATAAATCATATTGAAAAAAACTGTATTGTATGGTGTTAGAGTCCATGTACGTGTCGACAGAGTTCTGATAAAAACTAAAAGACCTCCTTCGAATTTGGTGGCTCATCCTGAACCAAAATACCATATATAAGATTTTGTAAAGCATGTTGCGGTGCATCGAATCTCATATCAGAAGTCAAGTTTTATGAAGAGTTTGATATGATAAGGATCGATACTTGTTTCATAATGCTTATGGAATAATCTCGGTACAAATAGACATTGGAGTCAATAGAATTTTCTAAAACAAATTTGTGCAATTTTTTTTCTATATTTAATTCAAAGTACGTATGAGTACTCTTCGGTTTTCTGTAAGTAACAGTTTTTCATCGCTGCTTTCTTCATACCAAAAAATGGCTTCTCTCCTTTTTTCTTAACTATATAATATTCTAGTGTTTTCAATTCTGTGTTACAAAACAAGTGTGTACCAATATGAAACTGTGTCAAAAATCTCGCACTATCGTGCCTTATATGGTTCAAATGTAATATTATTTGGAATAGCAGAGACTCCTCATCCACTTGCAAGATTGCTCCTTAGAGTGGCCTGCTTATGTTGATGGAGAGACCAGCATATGAATAATATTTTAGCGATATGCAACAATTCTATTAAAGATCTGCATGTGCCAATTACCAGTATAGCATCCTGGATGAATTGATATAAATAACTCCTTGATAAACTTAATAATAGCTTTTGCCTTTCAAGGTCTTGGAAAAAATATTTCGATGTGGAGAATTTTATTTTGAAATACACATGAGATATTTATAGATTTTTGTAGAGTTTCATACAAAAATCAAACTTGAATACTTAAGATCAAACTTTGAACTAGCAATAATAAGCATAACAGACCTTCTATCTGCAACCCTATACTCGTACTCTTCTTCAAGGATCTAGAGACCAAAAAAATCTTTCATCCTTATAACTAATTTATTTATATCAGTTGATCAGGAATGCCGTGCTGATTATTGGCGCGTAAAAGTTTTTAATAAAATCGTTGAATATTGTTAAAATATTGTCCATATGTTGGTCTCTTCATAAACGAATATAAACTATTCTAAGGGACAATCTTGCTAGTTAATGAGGAGTCCCTGCTATTCCAAATGTTGTTATATGTGAAACATATAAAGTTCGATAGTGTGAAATTTTTGACACAATCTCACGTTGGTACACATTTGTTTTGTAACACAGAATTGAAAACACTAGAATATTATATAGACAAGAAAAAAGACAACAAACAATTTTTTGATATGCAGCAAGCAACGATGAAAAATTGTTGATTATAGAAAATCAAAGAGTACCTATAACTGTGTTGAATTGAATATAGAAAAAAAATTCATAAGTTTCTTTTAGGATATTCTATGAATTCCAATATCTGTTAGTACTCTAAATTATCCCATAAGCATTATGAAACAAGTATCGACCTTTATCATATCAAACCTTTCATAAAACTTGATTTTGATTACGCCATTCAATACGCTGCAGTTACCTCTATAAAATTACAGCTATGGTGTCACGGCTCAAGATAGACAACCAAATCCAATGGAGTTCTTTCTGAACTCGGATTTAGGTTTCAGATGAGCCACAGTTCTCTGCTGACATCGTTTGGCACTCTTTATCTGAATACTCTTTCCTTTTCTTACTATCACTAAAACTTCCATCGTTTTGCTGCAATATTAAACTTTGATTAATATTTCATGGATATAATTAGTTATTCGATGATTTAAAAGAACTTTTAATTCAAACAGTTTTCTTCCATAATTAAAAATAAGCCGAACAGTAAAAATTGTAGTTCAACAGAAAAGATAAATGTTATACAAAAAAAAAAGAATTATTTTAGACATAAATTAGAACAAACACATTTTTATATATAAGTATCCTCCAGTTCTAAGTTCTCTCCCTTTGAATCATCGACCAAATTCTTCTCAGGTGATGATGTGTTTCTAAAGAAAAAACATAGTAAGACGAAATAAGAATTATCTATCTGTATGGGTTTTTTAATACCTCAATGTTTTCAATTCTATTTGAATTTGTCTAGCTCGTTCATCATCGATTGAATAAAAAAATAGACATGTTGTTGATACAATCAGTACAGCACCTGGAACAGCACCCATCAATATACTTAATGTCAATGCGACTGATTCTGGTTGTTCACACTGTTTAGCATCATAACCGCTTGCACTAAAAACTATTATATGTAATCTATCAATTAAAATAAATCACTTTTACCCTAGTGATAATTGAACAACACCTGCATATAATGCTTGTACAAGTTTAGCACCAAGAAAAAAGAATGTATAAAAAATTTCTACTGGTCTTCGACCTGTTTCAAGCATAAATGCATCAATACATTCCGGTAACATGCCCCTAAATTAAAATCTTTTCTTGATTTGAATTTAATAAATATAAAATAATTCAAACCATGGCATGATATAACCACAAGCAACTGTATTTGCACCAAAAATTGCCGCAACAAATAAAAGAGCTATAGGGGATTTAGTAATTAATATAATGATTACAGTTGGTATTAAACACTAATTTAAAAAAAAAACATGACAAGTTTCTCTGAATACACAAACAGAAGAATTATTGCGTACCAAATTTCCGATAAAAAAACTTTTTTTCTTTCCAATTCGACGCATTATTATCGCCCATACAAATAAAAGAATCATTGTTGATATCTGTAAAAGTGAAAAAGGAGAATTAAATAAGCACTAAGTGTTTTTGTGGTTTGAAAAGATACAAACAATTAATGTTCCAGCCAGATATGGAAACATTGTATGATTTTTTTTTACATGATTTAAATAAAGTTCAAGAACACTTTGAATTGACTATAGAAAAAAAAAACCATAAAATATCTGTATCAACAAAAAACAATGAAAATTTTAGTACACACTTGTGTTGCAAGAATAGATGCAACTGTTGCTGCTGTTAAGATCAGGAATGGTTTATAACGTATTATCATTTTAAAACCTGTCATAAAACTTGTTTCATGTGTTGAAATAACATCTATTAACGATAATATCAAATCAAACCTCTATTTTTCTTTTCTTTTTAACATACCAACAATTTCACGCACCGAAAAAAATAAAAATAATGATGTTAAAATATGAATTAATCCAACAATACCAGCTGAAGTCATATAAGCACCTGCCTAGGTTTGTTTTATAGATATCAAATAATAATGAAATTTTATAATTACCACATTCATTGGTACCGTTAAAGCCGGTAATACCGTTTCATTCGTAAAATTTTCTATCATACTATTGTTCAATCCATCAAACATCGTTGAATTGTCACAAGATATTCTATTTTTTGATGCACCAAACAGAGCTGTAATACCCGACTGAAAAACAATCGAAAGTAAAAGACCTGCAGCTTCGAATAGAGTGCCTGTCTCATGTACAAAAAAATTAAAATAATATAAATAAAATTATTTCTTCATACGATATTTTGTTAATTGATCTCGTTCATGTTGATTTAATGTTAAATAAACAGTAAGAGCTGTATGTGGAATACGTGATGCCTAGATTCTTTTCTTTTTTTTACTACAAAAAAAAATAAATTCTATATAACTTACAGTCATAAATGTCCATAGTAAAGAATGCAGTAGGAGATAATAGCCCAATTTACCACCATCAGGAATATTTGGAAGACACCAAATGCCAAAATAGCTGAGTGCAACAAAAGGTGCTGAAAAAAGTATCCTAAAAATGATATTCAATTAGAGAAAATATCTATGTCAAAATTAAAAGTCAAATTTAATGATTCAATATATGCAATTCTCATTTGAGACATTCACAGAAATACACATATACAAATCACAACATCTTTCTCAATAATGATGCCACAAAAGCATACACAAGATATCTAGCAGAATATTTGAAAAAGTTTTTCATCATTGAATTTAACTTTCATATTTGCCATTGCGGAAATAAAAATTTATCAACGTCTCATAGTTCACACTAGGAATCATATACTTGCTGTACTTAGAGTTGTTGACGTCGACCAAGTTTTTAAATAAGACTTAATTGATTGTTATCTTTCTATCTGATACTATTATTACACTTAATGAAATATGATTTAGAAGTGTAAGATTTCGCTGGAATTAGTGGTTCTAACTAATGCAACTACGTAATCTTTAGTGTAAACAAACAGAAATCAATGAATACCTAACTAAAACTAACATACAACCAAATCTGAAAAAATTGTTCATTATAGAGTAATTGTGTTACTTTTTGATTTAAGATGGTTATTAACATTTTTACTTTATACTGATCTTCATTTTTTTTTTAGTGTTTTTACACAGAATTGTAAACGATTGTGAACGTTAAAATAATAATCTATAGTTTTATCCTCACTTCATATGACGAGTAAATATGGAGCTCGTTGTTTCGAGTATTGTACTAAACCAAGTTTCGCATGTGAATCTGCTTCAACTCAAAGTATAGTGAATGGCTACCTATGCTTATTTTTCAAGTAGAATTTGTTGACACAAGGTTAATTTGTCTATGGTAAAAGCATTATGCGTTGGTCACTACTCCATTACATAATTAATTGCCACGCTACTTTTTCAAATATTGCTATAGTTTCTTTATCTATTCTGACATACTCAGCAAGTTTGAATGTCAGTGAACAAGGTGAAGTACTCAGCGAGTGGTTGTCTTTTTTTCTTGCTTTACATACGCGAAACTGATTCATTCGATAGTGTTCTTAATTATATACTAGGTTTTACTTCCAGTTTATTAAACTTAAAATGAGAATTATCATCAATGGGACGCTCAATTTCTTCATTATTTTCAATTGATATATCGATTTACAGACGTGACAACATGCAATTCATCTTTAGTCTCTTCACGAAAACATTATGACTATTTTATAAGTTAATTGTAAGATAGATCTTAGTCGTTGTAAATAGAACATCAGTCATCATAAGGGTAATTTTCTTTTTTTATATTAGAGTACACTAGGTACTTTGATGTACGAACGAAAATTAGCCTTAGTCGTTCAAAAACAAGATATCAAACTTACGCTTAACATTGATACTATCAATCCAATCATGATCATACAATGCATAAATATAGAATCCAGTGATAGATTTAGAGAAGGACGCTGATAGTAACCAACCTTGTCCTCTTTCCTGAAACCTTTTCGGATTTTTCTCACTAGAAAAGGCTCAATAAGGAGTTGATACTGCCTTCAGTAAACTTCAAAACAAGTTTTTAATAATCAGTTTATTATTTAGTTAATATTTATTATGAAAATAAAAACTAAAATGTCGAACATCGTTTCACCTATAGGGTTTTTTCTCTAGACATTTTAACATGTCTTAGCCTTTTAACAATAAAATCTCCACATAACTTCTTTCTCTCTAGTTGCTGAATCATTGCTAAAAGAATGGTAGCAATGGTTATATATGTAGTCAGATAAAAACATACACCTTATGTCTCTATTTTCCTACACAGCAAGAAAAATATTACATCATTCGACCATGTACTTTTCATGTCAGGTGATTATCATTATGAAAAGAAAAGCAAAGAAGACTCGTCGACCTATGTTTTATGTTACCACACTGGATATCATAAATTTTGCTCCATACTGACTTTCGTAGTGAACAATCAACAATTATCGAAAGTTCAGCTTGTGATGTAAGTTTCGACAGTTGTCAAAGGTTTTGCAATAGATTGCTCATATAATCACTCAATTAAAAAGCTTTATATTCAGTTTTTAGTAAGATTTTTCTTTATTAGTAAAGTTTCGGCGCCGAGTAATTTGCTATTAGCCAAAGTTCAACTATGAGAACCTTTTCAGCTTTTTCACAAATGATTTCTTTTGATCGTAGATACTTTTTATGATTCTATAAGACCGCTTTGTACTCAATAGGTTATTGTCGGGTAGAATGGTTGGTACTGAGCATTCTACAGTACAAGCATCCTGGGCAGCAAGTGTCTGCAGACACAATCATTTAGGTAATCAAACAGAGAGTGTCTGATTTCAATAAAGAAAAATTATTGGGATCAGTTTTAATTTTCTAAATACTGATCACAAGGTTGAATTTTCTATTTATACTGGATATTTTGCTTATTGATGTTCAATTTCACAACACCATTTTTCTATTATAATTAAATCTGTAGTCTATTCTTCAAACAGTTTGCTTTTCAAGTGAAATTCTTCACATATCATAAGTAGGAATGTCTGAGAACCAATTGGATCTATCAGAAACAAAAAATTGCCAGAATCGAAAATCAAGTTTATAGTAAAATATTTTATTGATTTGAACGAATTATTTTGTAAATGAAATGAATCAGAACATAATTTAAGAGAGATGACCCAAAAAAGTACTTATGGTCGATTGAATATATCTAAAAAGACGAGTATTGAAGAATACTTTTAAATGTGATACGAATAAACTCTCGGATAGTTTTCTCTGGACTAAACATGAAAATCAACTTCAGATGAAGCTGTCATACGGACTTTTACATGTTTTGAGAATATCTTCCGACGCAATAATTTAGCTGACGAGAAAACTACCTGGACTGACACTCGCCGTTTAAGTTCATATTGGGCTCACAAGAAGCTCTCGGTAAGAGAAGAAATAATCCTCAGAAGTTCATCTCCATGGATCTCTGGATTTGAGTTATGACCACTTTACTGAATTTTCGACCCAGTCTTAGATATTTACCGAAAAATCAAATAGTGAAATTTCGACTGAAAGTTTTGTTCATAAATAGACCTAATATCCCTGAGGAATATCCTCAAAGCTTCACTCAAAAAGAATGTTTCCGAGTCGAGATATTGAATTTTCAAAAAAGCGATATTCAATATCTCAACAAGTCAACATGCTGTTTCGGCTGAAACTTTCAGGATAAGCCCAGAGCCATGAGATCTCTCCATGAGCAGAATTTCAAGACAAATTTTCATTATTTAATTTTTCGGCAAATATCTAAAGCTGGATAAAAAATTCGATAAATCGGTTATCACTCGAAATCAGAGGTTCTTGGGAACAAACTTTCTTAGGATTTTTCTAGTTTCATCAAGGCCTCTTTGTGAATCCAATATGAGCTCAAATGCCGAGTATCAGTTCGGGTAGTTTCCTCATTGGTGAAATATGTTCTTTTTTAGTCACAATAGAATTTTCAATTGTTGCCCAATGTTTATATATACACTTACCATGGTCTCATTTTCCCCCATCTAAATGAACATCGACTAAAAAGATAGCCACCAATAGGATCAGTTAAACCATCAATAAGACGACTAGTAAATAGAATAACTGCATTATATGCTGGCGATACCTAAAATATTCATTCTATAGATTTTTGAATAATAATTAAAATAATCGAACTTTAGCAACATCCAAAAGAAATTCATTTATATAAAACGCAATAATTGATAATTGCATTGAATAAGGTAAACCAACAGAAGCATAAGCTATTTTAGATAGCCATGAAAGTTTATCTGATGAACTTGTGTCAGAAGTTTCTCCTATTGATTCTTCAACACTATATTCATCTTCTTCGTCTTCTTCGGGTTCTTCAATGAAACCATTACGTTTTGTAATTGTATAAGGTGGCGGAGAATCACTTTGATTTCCCTATTAAAACTCTCATCGAATCTTTGAATAGAATAAATTTTTTTTTCTTAATATTCCTACCACACGTGTCATGTCTCTTTTCTTCATTCGTAGGTAAAGATATGTAGTTTTGTATATCAAACAGCTTCGTTGTTTCTTTTGTTATCTTTGAAAGTAAGACATATCGGTTTTTTTTTCATACGTCTTAACTATATATATATTTATATGATAATCATTTTTAGAACTTCATGAGTAGTAAAAAATATATTAAACCTGTTTGTAAATAAAAAAGACAGCTGTGTTCTTGATTAGTTAATACAAAAAAAGTACTTTGCCTATAATACTCTTAATCAGGCGCCTAATAAAAAATTATTATTAGGTTTTCGAAACCTTGATTAAGTTTCTTTTAATTGTCTTAATTTATTAATTTTTTCGTTCAACATCATCATTTAATAGTTGAAATACAAAAGGATATATTAAATCAGTTATTTTAGCATTCAGTAACTGACATCTTTCATCGAACGATATATCTCAATTTATTGTAGTTGTCTAGAAACAAAATTTAGTTACGTTTTAAAACCAAATAAACAAATATTTACATTATCAATGCATAGAAAAAATAATAAGAAATCTAAAAAAAGAAAAAATAAACGACACATTTTTTTATGCAATCTTATCACTTATTCCCCATGTAAAAATTTTTGATTAAAAATTTGATTAAAAATCGATTAAAATGGCACGATTTTAATCAGATTTTAATCGGATTTTTTAGGCTTGAAGACGGATTTTATTTGATTTTAATCTTTTTTTAATCTATTTTAATCAATTAATAAACCTAAATCAACTAAAATCGATTTTGATAATTAGTTTTAACTGATTCAAGCTTATTAATCGATTAAAATAGATTAAAAAAGATTAAAATCAAATAAAATCCGTCTTCAAGCCTAAAAAATCCGATTAAAATCTAATTAAAATCGTGCCATTTTAATCGATTTTTAATCAAATTTTTAATCAAAAATTTTTACATGGGTCCAATAAGATATTTGACTGTAATAAAAACAGAAATATAAAATCAATTAAATTATCATTTTCAACTTATCATTTATTTTTCAATTGTCTTGAACTGTATTCAGTAAATTAACATCAAATTCCAACATTGTAATAATAATAATAAACCATAATAATGAATAATTTTGTTTTTCGATAAAAACTACATAGAAGAATTTTTGATTCAAGCAATGTAACTAGAAATCGGATCTGCTAAAAAAAACTTTAAACTTGAATACTCATTATGAATAGTTTTCAAAAAAACTGACGCCTGCTTCATATATTAATAATAATAAAAAAACCAAATTAATTGATAGACATGCATCAAAACTTTAATTCTGGCACTATCTTGATGATTGGACATCTAATCTACAGCAATGCCCACGTTTCAGAAATTAGAAACTCTATAGAATTCTCGCAATTCAACAAAACAAACATGTTTACATCTATACGTACAAAAAGAAATATACAAATTCATAACTATTCTAGAAATCAATAGTAATAGAAAAAATTTATACCACCAGAGATATTGTTGACCATTAGAATTTTATTGTATTGTTAAAATCGTCGTATGATTCCTTGATTTCCTAGGATGCTTGCTAATCTGTAGATCTATGTGTTACTGTTGCAAATTAAAATTCTATATGTTTCTAATTCTTCGATCGTGAGTATATCTCTAGGTATTCAAAAAAAAACGTATACAGTTGTTAAATGATTTACGTAGCTGATCCGTTTCTAATAAAGTATTGTATTTTTGATGTTGTATGATTGATTCTTTAATGTTTGTATATCTCTTTTTTTTCTTGAATAGTTACGAAATGTTTTAATAATTTTTTTAATACCGCTAGATTTGAATAGCTCATTAAATGATGCAGATAAATAAACTACAAATTGCTACAAAAGGAGTAGAAACTGAAAACCATGGAATAGTTGTTCACCTTTGTTTTTTGATTAACCATCAAATCTATTTAAATAGTTAGTTGAGTTAAGTTTCTCATTTGAAAGGCTACTGATATATATCGCAAACTTGCCTTGTTCCAACTTTATATAGACGAAATATTTGCCTTCATATAAGTTATTGAAAAGTTTAGAAAACAAAAGAAAGTTTCGTGCGTGATTGATAAATCACATCATGCTCTGATTTTTTTCGGTAAAGTGAAAAAATAAGATCAAATAAATGTATAAATTTAGTGAGATATAATGAGAAAAACTTTATATTGGTGAATTATTACAAAGAGAAATGAAAAAAATGCATGATTATCTTCTTGATATGACTATAATGATAAGAGCAGTTATATTATTTAGTCTTATTCAAAATCGAATAGAATAGTACTTGGAATTCAGTTATGTTTCATTACATCGAACATCTCAAATAAAATTACCTATTATTTATTCAAGTTTATTAAGATTGGAATACATCTAAAAGATTATGTGTCATTAAATTAAGGTTTTATTTTATTTATCTTTTCGTTTTCTTTTTAACATAAAGAAAAAACCGAAATGAATATTAATGTTATATGTCATTATTTTGAATTTTGAAGAGAAAAGAAGCATGAATATTTATTCCTATCCATTTCATAGCTCGAGAACCTAATTTTGTTGCATGTTCTTCATTTTCTATTCCTTTCTCACAATATTTAATTAATTTTAAACCAGTTTTGACTGCTGTTTCACTAATATGTTCAATAGAGTGATCAAATGATATTCCACAGAGTTTATCACCAGTTGTTTTATCAATAATAAAACCAGCTTGTGAACCAGCTTGATACATATTGGGATGCATAGCTGTGATAAAAACCCAACTATGATTATTTTTTTTTAATAGTCTATATATAGTTTTGAAATATTGTTCGAGTGATGCAATATGTTCAATAACAAGAGTACTGATAACAGCATCAACGGATGCATCATTAATTAATAGTTCATTATCATTATTAAGATCATGAATAATCCAAGACACAGATGACATATGTTGTTCTTCTAATTGTTTGACGCGTTCTTGAGCTTTTTTCATCATGCATGTAGAAAAGTCAACTGCAATCTAACAGAAAAAAAAATTATTAGATAGAATGTCTTGAAACCATAATTAATACTCATAAATGAAGACAGTTTAATTTTGTAAAGAGTAATAATTATCTAATGACAAAGCTCATTTTTTAATTAAAACTCACCCACCGAAAATCTATCTTGGATGAGGTGTAGAGCGAGAACCGAGCAAATTTTTCTGTTCTATCTGATGCAGCCAGCAATCTGCCGAATGAATTTTACAGCTAAACTGGAAAAGTCCGGTGAAAAAAACCTAACCTACGTGTGTGTTCACATAATATAGTGATGAAGAGAAATCAAATATTCATATGTAGAAATCCTAACGGAAAACTAAAACTTGAAAATAAAAATTTCACCATCATATTGTATAGCACGGTCTATTGACTTTTCGAGCCCGATCTCGATATAAATTAGCTATTCAGATCAAATCTATCTTTTCATCTTAATCCCAAAAAAGAAAAAACAGCAAGATCATAACGAATCCACGAGAAGGAAACCCATGTAAAAAAATTTTGATTAAAAATTTGATTAAAAATCGATTAAAATGGCACGATTTTAATCAGATTTTAATCGGATTTTTTAGGCTTGAAGACGAATTTTATTTCATTTTAATCTTTTTTAATCTATTTTAATCTAGTAATAAGCTTGAATCAGTTAAAACTAATTATCAAAATCGATTTTAGTTGATTTAGGTTTATTAATCGATTAAAAAAGATTAAAATCAAATAAAATCTGTCTTCAAGCCTAAAAAATCTGATTAAAATCGTGCCATTATAATCGATTTTTAATCAAAAATTTTTACATGGGAATTGATAGAGATATAAAGAGAATAATCAGTCGTTTATAGTCAAGTCGTAGACAAGATATCTATTAAATATTTTGAAAACGCATTCTTTTGACATAAAAATATCTCATCAAAACATAGTTTTCATTAGAAAAAATCCTTGAGTGCAAATAACAATTTCGTAATGATGAACTGACAAAAATTCGGTCCTGTCCGACCCAGTTTCACTTCATGTCTAGTCTTGTCCGGACTGGTTCCGACTCTGGTCAGATATATTCAAAATCATATGAGATTTTTAGCTCTATACCATCATGTCTTCGGGAGATATTCAGTAAACAAAGTTGAAAATAACTGGTTTGGTAATCTGAAATTCTTATAGATTCTCATTCGATGACCTTATTTATCTTTTATTTGAAAGAACATGTCAGATGCAGAATATGATAGAATAGTTTTTTTTTAAATTCATAAATGTTAAAATGAGAAAAGAAATGACAAGCTGAATATCTTGAAGAACTCTAAAAAAAATTGTCATCTATTTATGGAGGTATTTTTTTGACATAATTATAACAAAAGCTTAATTTAAAAAATGAACTTTGTCATGCGCAGCATCTTGGCATGCTCTTTCAAAGAAAGAAAAAAGCACTTAAATAGAATGAAGCTAATTCGGGAAGACTGATATACACAATCAAAACAACCTAAATAGAAAAGAACACAAAATATTTCCTGTCATTTCTAAAAGCATCATACTTTTCAAATCAATGGTGACGGAAATCCTCGAAAATTTTTGAAAAAAAATGATGCGTCAAGTAAGTAACCATGTTCTTGACGACTGATCACAACCTTGTGCTGTCCTCCAATACATTTGATATGTAAATCAAAAATTTTAGGTAATATGTTTGTTCACTTATAACTCATTAGAAAATACTTCAGAGAAGTCAAAAATTATGATTTTGTGTTATTTTCGAATATGGACTTAGAAATGTTGTCTCAGTTCTTTGTTCGAGTGTAGTGAGATGATATTTGAAAGCCCAAAAAATCTGCCGGAATAGAAAATTTTTATATTTTCTCTATGGTGGTTTCAAACAAAAAGTTGGATTCTTTATTTATATATCGCCTCGTAAGTAAGGAGTTATCCTAGAAAATTTAGAATTCATTCATGTGTAAAGATTCACCATAGATAGCTAACTACCATTTAAATATTCCAAATTTAATCGTAGATGACAGTGTACTAAGTATCACAACAAATTTTGATTCCATCTACACAAGAAAAATAAATAAATTAGACGTAGTTGCAGTTTTCTCATTGAATACTTGCTATTCACAGTAGAAAATTTTCAACATATATTGAATAACAAGATATTTATGTTTATTATTAATATGACAACAAACAACAATAGTGTGGAAGAATTAATGGAAAAACTTAGTAATAGCGTTAGTTTTATCTGGAAAATAAAAATATTATTGTTCATATTTCGTTTAAAGTTACACAACAGCTTCCAAGAGTTATTGTTTCAGGATTCATTAGGGTGTTTTTAAACAAATTCTGATATCTGTTACTGTTTCTGAATTTATTAAAGCTTGATGGTGTAGGTAAGTTGTATAATAAACTTGCCGAAAGATTAATATAATCACATATTAATTAAAAGAAAGTCCGAAAGAATAAAAAAAAAAAAAATATTAACCGAAGAGAGGTACGACTCTTTCATGTATGAAATGAAAAGCTATTATTCTAATCATTGAGCTATTCAGAATTGTTAGGTAGTTGTAAAAATTGTTAGAACAGTGATTATCGAAATGAATTGATCCTCTAATGCTTAGAATGTATCCCCTAAGGAATTATTTGAAATTTAGGAGTTCATATGATAACTATTGTGATACAATAATGTTTTGAGATTAAATCAATTGAAAAAAAATTAATGTAGCGATGAAATTAATTTATTTTGAGATATATTTAGATAAATCTCATGCAGATAAATAGTTGTCAAAAAGTTCTGTTACTGTCGAATATTTATTTATAGAAAATAAAAAATTTGCTAATCTGCTTACAGAAAATGTTCGAAATAGTTTCCATCATTATTGATACAAAGTTTCATCATGTCAGTTAATTTTCAAAAGGCCTTCTAGTGTGTGTGAATAGGTATTGAAGTGACCTGTTTGGCTGTTGCGAGATCTAAACTTGTAACATGTAGATATGTATCAAAACTACATTTCAGACAACGAAACAGTCAAAAGTTTGGATGAACAAAATTCAGGCATGCATAGTGAATTACTCATAACTAAAATTTTTTCCTTTTGACGATAAGTAAGATTTAGAAAACATCTTGCATGTGTAATTTTGCATTTTTATGATGCAAATTTATGTTATTTTTTGTTGATGAAAGTTTTTTTTCTGTCGCGGAAATTCGTGACTAATATCCTTATATGTTCATCACGATAGATTATGCGATAGCTATATCCAAGATGGCAGTAAAATAATTAATATTAATAGGTAGTTTGGCAGTCACTAGACCTTTAATATTATCAACATTTTGTTGAACAATAGCGCTTATTATAGGTTCACTTCGAAGATCATCTTTCCACGATTCTCACCCACTTATAAATCGATTAAGCAAATGAGCAACTGTAAGATACGAAACAACATTTTTTCCTTAAGCATTAGTTAATTCATCACCAATTCGTGTAGTAATTAAATTTAAAAGTAACCTAGTTTTTATCTAAGAGTGTATGCACTGGTTTTCCATGTGAAAATAAACATGACAAAAAAATCTACCTAGAATTTTTCTTAGTAGATACTTGTCAAGGTTCGTATAGCTACTTTAATATATAACAGGCATGACTACCAGAATAAGCCAACATGAGGAAGAAAAGCAATGAGGACGAATTTTTAAACAGCTGTTGCCAAAACTTTTGACTACCCAATGTAAAAGACATCATATTTTCATGACATATGATATAGAAAAATATGTTGTGGAATTTTAAAAGAAGATCTAATAAATCCAACAAAAAAATAAGTCTTCGTAGCATCTCAAGTGACAGCTCTTTATTGAGGTCAATGGTATCATGTATAGCAGTTTTATTAGGACATCTCCTATGAATATAAGCTATGACTAATTCTTTTTTTTAGTCACTAAAGAATCATCCTCTTAGGTCAAAATATAACGGAAATATTCAATTTTCTTTCATGACTTGTCTTCGTTTTCTCCGATTACATGGCGAGATTATTCTAGAAAATGGATGCATGATTTTCATATAATTAGACGACACCTTTGCTATAAAATGAGTTTGTCCTTTTGTCGTTCATACGCTTTAATTTTGATAGATTTTATGATAATTATTACTAGTAGGAAAATACTGATGGTTTTAGTAAATGCTTTGAATCGAATACATATTATTCTATAGTATTTAGCCAACTTGAAGTTTAATATCAGAATATTTAAGTTCATACTGAGCCTTAAAGGAAGTATGAATTGTAATATTTTCCCTGAAAGTATTATGCGATTAATAATAAAATTTTCTAGATGCGACATATATTGTGATTGTAAATCGCCAGAAGCATGTCATTAAGCATTGCAGTAAAAATATTTATTTACGCTATAGCTAAACATTATATGATCAAGAACATTTTTACATTCACTATTATATATTCTATCTGCACTTACCAAAGATTATTAGAAAAATCATTTTTAGTTCTTAAAAAACTCAACACTAACAATTTTTTAGTTTCTCAATTTTCAATATATGAAACAACAAAAACATACTTAACACAATACTAGAAAAACGAAGAAATATATGTGAGTATTTCTTATACATTATTGAAGTATCCTTTATGAACAGAGAATCTATAATTAAGATATTACATTAAATTATTTCCTAAAATAAAACACAATACAAAACTAAGAGTAGTCCTGGACAACCTGATGGTAAAAAATGTGAAAAAAATGCAGCTGTTAGAAATATTTAAAAAAAGGCCATGTTGTCGAATACTTTTCACAAAATCCTCACATTTAAATACTCAATTTATTAACATATATTAATCTTGAATTGAAGTGTAACATATGAAATATAAGTTGATGATTTGATTTTAATCAGTCAAAAAATTTTAATAGGTTTCCATTGAAAATATCTTTCAATTTGAAAGCTTATAATCCTATTCAGAAATCATAGTATTTATTATTATTGCTAAATTTGAAAAAAGCTTTATACGTGAGACAACCTACATATTACAGTTTATATTTTCGTATGTATCCGATTTACAACGGCGTATAAAAATCTAGTAACATCTATGGTTAATTATAGTCAAAATCACGCTTAGTAAATTAAGACATAAAACATTTTGATAGAGAATAGGAAATCCTGTCTACAATAAAATTTTACTATAAATAGGTTAATACGTTGTTATATATCCAATGTTCTCTTTATTACTATAAAAGATAAGACAAGAAAGTTCATTTACATCTAAGTATAGAAACAAGTGACTATCATCTATTATCGAAATAAACCTACTAGTTTTGTCTATAGATATATATATATAAATAAAAGTAGCTTAAAATTTTTAAGTACTAAATTTTTCACATTTCTATTTATTTTTATACTCACGACAGACCATCCAGCACTTAAGATTTTCGTTGTATTACGTCCTGTACCACATCCTAATTCACAACAAATTTGTGTTGTACTATGTTGATCAATCGAATTAAGAAGAGGTTGAGCTATTTCTTCGAATGCAGCATCATCAAGTAATTGTAGAATATTTCCATCAGAATCATATGTATTTGACCAAGCATCATAACATTCCGCAGTAGATACGATTGTCCTCTTACTTTGAGTTGACGTCATTTGATTTTTCTTTCTTTCATATTAACACGGATAAATACGAATTTTAAAATAGATAGAAAACGATAGAGATAAATGAATGAATCAGTGAATGAAAGAGCCTATGGCATTCATGGAGACTATCGACATGTATGATTTTATCCGTTCTGTATTATCATATCAGTATAAATAACGATTTTTTTTTCGAAGCTATAGTCATTTTATGTATGTTAATCTTGAAATTAAAAATCAATATCTTATTAAAAAAAATAAATAATCGTTTTTAACACATGATCTATCATAAATCGATTTTTTTTCCTAAGGATATTAGCGTTGTACTGCAATTTTGTTCTTTGTTGTGGTAAATCGAAAACTTTAGGTTTCAACCCATCAACTGATCAAAGTCTGACTAAATTTCGAAAGTCACCATCACGAAACTCATTTCTAAAAGAACTCTATTAATACGTAACAGTATGTTTTCTAATGAAGTCTAACGATTGATTGCTGAATTCTCTTTCGGATTGATTACCTATCATCAGCTGTATAGCCTATAAGCATAGAGAGTGAAGACTACCTTTTATGACTGTTTTTTCATTTTAATTATTTTGAAACTTTGAAAAAAAAAGGTAAATCCACAAGATTAATTTATCTTTTTAGGGCACTATTTGTAATGAATCTTGTCAATGAATAACCATTAAAAATGTTTAACCTTTTCAATATTTGTCTTAATAATAGTAATGTAGAGAAAGCGAATAGAACAACATTTTGTGTTTTCGTACGATCGACATTTTATTTGATTTATAAGTACGAAAAAATATTTACATTGGTTAAATTCAGAAATGCTCTTACTGCTTTTGCACTATCTTCACCTTATAAGTAAATTGTGACATTTATTTGCATAAGAGTAAACTAGAATTGATCAGACAACTATAGTCCCTAAGTGACAGTTGATACTAATGCATAATTAAGAGTTTCATATTATCGAATAACGGTATTATTATATATCTGAACTCTGTGACACTTCAATTCAGATTATATGTTATTTATTATTACTATATTAGATTGATATCAAAAATTAATAATAAACATAATAATTATTTGTCACATTTTGTAAATAGAACGACACAAAATAATATTAGATAGGTCATAAGAACTGTTCTACATGAAATAAAGTCTATAAGCAATTCATTGATTAACTTTCTCTTTTTTGACATTACTGAATATAAGTATATTATACTTAGGGCAACTCAATATTAGTGATAGAGATATTTTAATTCTTCATAAAAAATTTAAAAAAACGTTCTGTACAGTCTGATTGTAAAAATAATGCTCTATTTTTGTACGATATTATATCATTCTTCAACTAATATCATAATAATAAAATTTCAATAAGATCTACTTGGCTATAATGTGAAACGATTACATTAGTTCATATTGTTTTCGATATGTATTCTGGTGTTGATTATATCTCTTTGTTTTTCTTCTCTATTTCTTTGTTTATTTTTTCACATTCCTTTTTAATACTTAAGAGAGGTTTTGCCAGTCCATCGAGAATCGCTGGAGAATGAAAAAAAAAAGTTACTTTTTTTATCTCATTCTATTCCTTGAACAAAAGTAAGATTATGAAAATTTTTTTAGACCTTCACTACTTTTCTTAATGGAATTATAGGCTTACGAATAAGAGGGGGGTCAAAAAAATCTCAAGAAAAACATGCTTTTCGTTTTTTTTCAGTATTTCGACTACAACTTCGTCATTTCTCATCCTTTTTTTTCTGTGCCACATCTTATTCGAAAGAGCTCATCAAACTGAACAAAAAAGTCTCTTATGAAACTTCCAAAAAGTGAAAACTTCATAGGGAAAAAAATGCATCTTTCAAACCACCCCCATTTTTCGAAACCAAATTTTTTTCAGTGCAAACCATTTTTCGCGGTTACAGAAGTCGAATAGGAAAATCTAGTATAGTGCATCTTGTAAAGAATTTTTCGCTCTACAAAATATATATAAAAAGATTGAGAGAAAAACATCACGCCATGTCGTAATTTTCAAGACAAAGAAGAGAAAATCAGCTCTTTTCTATGTAAAATTATAGGAAAAACCAAAACCCTCGATCATATAACCACTATTTAACCATTAATTACCCATTTTCAAGCAAAATCCATATTATATTTGGAATCAGCATCAAAAATTGAGTCAGACAACATATTTTTCCTTAAAAATATTTTTGTGAAGAAATTCACCTGTACTTCCCCTCAGCTCATTTTTGAGAAATTTTTTCCTGGGGCCCCCTCAGGTGAAATTTCCTCAAAAAATTTTTTTAATGAAAGATATATTGTCTGACTCAGTTTTTTATGCCGATCCTAAATATAATATGGATTTTGCTTGAAAATGGGTAATTAGTGGTTAAATTATCGAGGGTTTCGGTTTTTCCTATAATTTTACATAGAAAAGAGCTGATTTTCTCTTCTGTGTCTTGAAAATTACGACATGACGTGATGTTTTTTTTTCTCAATTTTTTTATATGTATTTTGTAGAGTGAAAAATTCTCTACACGATGCACTATACTAGATTTTCCTATTCGACTTCTGTAACCTCGAAAAATGGTTTGCACTAAAAAAACTTTTGGTTTCGAAAAATGGGGGTGCTTTGAAAGATGCATTTTTTTCCCTATGAAGTGTTTTTTTTTTCATTCTCCAGCCCTCTGGATCGATGCTCGATATTCTCGCGAAACCTCTCTTAACCACTTATCAATATACATATGTATGAAAATGCATGTGTTGTTCATTTTGTTTGCATCTATAGTTTATTAGCGTAATCTCAAGAAACTGAAAGAAATAAAGTTAGGTTAAACTTTGACATTCTTGATCTCTGTTTTAGATTAGTGCGAAAATTTTTCGATATAACAGTAAGGTGCACACTGTAATTAATATTCAACCAAGAGTTATGTAAGATACATTATGTTTTGTTTCTGATGGCAAAGCTCCTTCTCTTAGAACTGTTGAAAAATGGTATAAACGACTTCGTGAAATTCGATACGAGGTTGAAGATGGAGCACGAGTTACTTGTTTCTGCACTTAGTTTTGGTCACGCCGCCACTACTTTTTTCTTTACGCTAAAATATATATTTAAACAGATAGGCATTAGGATAGACGAGAAAAAAGAATTAAGAAAAAGAAGAAAAACAAAGAGAAAAATCAAGAATAGAGCACATATCGAAAACAATATGAACTAACATAATCGTCATATATCATAACCAAACAGATTCTATTTGAATTTGTATTACTATGATATTGGTTGAAGAATGATCAAATACGATTGAAAAATAGAGCATTTTTTTCACTATTAGATTATATAATGAGAAAGTTTCTTTAAATCTTTTTGCTTTTTATAAAGAATCAAAATATCTCCGTCACTACTTTTGGACTATCCGAAGTAGTTTTCCAAGAATTATAAAAATATTAATTGTGTCTTCACAATAATAACTATTCATTCCATTTGTGTATTAGTGCTAGTGATTTTATTCATTCATATGAATTACAGAATCTAGATCCTAAATTCTGGTTTTTCAATCTCTTTTGTGTTTTATGTTTCATTAAAAGCAAAATAAGTTTCATCAGCTTAGTAGTGCAGTAGTTCATTAACAGTGCGATGAGAAAATCATTTGCTTGATTATCGATGATATTTAAATAATACCTAAGTAAAGTATTGAAACTTCAAATTCTGACTCAAGAGCTAGATGACGGTGCTACTTCACCAGTCTAAGCTAAATATTCATCTGATCTGTGTATTAATCTCTATTACAAACATTAATGTGGCTATTCCCATGAGCAAGTATATTCATATAGTCGAATATCTGTATCCTTCAGGGCTCCAGAAAAAAGTTATTTATTTAACCTTAAAATAGATTTAATAACAATCTGCAAAATAAAAATTCTTCTACATAATTCATGAATTCGTACTGACTTACACTTACTAGATTATTTTGATAAAGCAAAATCATGTATAAAAAAATTGCTAGAGTAATTTAATCAACAAGAATTTCAAAAGAAGCTTATTGTCTTCTTTACTTTGATGAAGAAGAAAAAGAAAAGATTATTATGGACTACTGTTTAATAATTTCTATTAATATCAATGCAGATCTTCTGAATAGTTTGTATAAATTGACACTTCTTTGTGTAATATGACATGGATAAACTTTGTCATTTGAACAAAGCGTTGAAGTGCATTGACATTACACTTTACTTATTAATATTTAATGTATTATTTTTTTATTATCGTAGAAAATTGAATGCATTTAATGAATAAAAGTCCACCATAATATTATTGATTGTAATGACCGGTAAATTTTTAGAACATTCAATTAATATAAAGGTTTCTTATAGCAACTCTTTGAACTTTTTCGAATGAATAATTAAGCCTTAAAAAATTAACAAAAAGTTACTTTTATTATTTCTAGATTTACGCTTTCTTTGTAAATGATAAAAGTGACCTCCTTTTTTTTCAAATTGTATAAAATGATTTAGAAATGAATATAACTGCCTATATTTCTTATTAATGTCGAAGATTTACCATATCTTTATCACGTACGACTTATTTTTCAACGCATAACTTGAAGAGAGGGTACTTATCATAAACCGTAAGGTAAGACAATTCTCTCTAATTAGATGCCGACTTATTCTTTATAACATAAGCAGTTAATTAGTAAATAACGTCTTGAGAAATTTTGAATCTATTTTTGGATATTTTGCGTTTGTGAATATCTTTGATAATATATTCTTCTTTAATATATCTTTATTATTTATTTTCCATTAATATTAGAAAATTCTATATAGTTTCATTTGTATACATACAACAGACAAAGTACGAATGTTTTGAATTTGTCCTTTGTCGATTATAACAAACTTGACAACTTAACAACGAAGATATAGTTTTTACAGAAACATCTTAGACAGTATATTTTAATGAATCACCACAAATGTATATTGTTTGACTGACAGTTTTCTTGTTCTTCATTCTAGTTTTCTATATGGTTTTCTCCTTGTCTGTTGTCGAGCTGTTGACTTGGATATTCACACTTTTCTAAATTGCTTTCTCTTCTTGATCTACTCTTTGTCTTTTTTATTAAAATTGCGTCATATTTAAAAGTTGAATTAGTAAAATATATGAAAGTTTACATTTCTTAATTCTGCACATTTTCCTTTTAGTTAAACAAAATACAAGAAGGTTTGTAATCTATGTTTTTCTTCTTCTTTTCCCTTCATTTACTGTGACAATATGTTCTATTTTTCTAATGAAATTAGTAGTTTCTCAATCGACTAAATTTATTCATCACCTGAATCTAGTAAAGCCTTTTTTTTTAACTAATATCGCAAAATATTCTAACTGTTGAATTTTATATCATACATAAAATAATTCAAGAAATAATCTATAATTTCATCGAATGCTAAGTATTAGAATCATGAGATATTGATAAAGTCAAAAAATTTCTTCTAGATTTATCTGTCATGAAGAAAAAAATGTATGAAATCTTGCTTTTTGAACATTTCATCCTTCTCAATATTAACAATTATTTATTGAACTTGTCAGAAATAAGCACCTGCTTTTATTTTTCTTTAGTCTAGAGTATAGACTATTTTTTAGTTTTATTATATGTCCATAAAAAATAAAAACTAGATTCGAGATAATTTATTTTATCTGCAATCAGCTTTAGCAGACAATTGAAACATGAAAAGACTCTATTTAAAAGAAAATAGCATGTTTCATTTTATTGATTTGAATAATATAAGAAAAAATGATTGCATCATTCTTGATGATTTTAGTAAAAAAAAACAAAATAGAAAAACAAGACATGTCAATCAATACATGATGAGACATTCATAGTGCATATCGTAATTATATTCTATGTCATAAAGATAAAAGAAAACTCTTTTTATGCTCTGGTTTTTATCAAAAAGAAAAAAAGAAGAAATTATATTTCTATTATTTTCTCTATTATTTTTTTTTTCAGAAGTAATTTTTCAATGATGATATAAAGCTCATAATTTTGAATAAACAAAAATATGTTTTATCGGAAAGAGTATGTATTAAATATTTTTAAAAGTAGAAATACATCTTATTATTTATCAAAAAAATTTCGAGATTATTTTGTAATATAAAATTGATGCATAATAAAAAGTACGAAATTGAAAAATATTTTATTTTTAAAGAGGAGATTTTTTAGCAAAAGTTCTTGAAAATTGTCGAATAATTCTTTATTTTTATATTTCTAGTTATGAGTAGATTTCTATAAGATTAGCCAAAGGAAAAATTTGTCATGATTTATAATCTTTTTATAATGAGATATGATATTTTCAACTTGTATCTAGTGAGTATTGAACCATCCTGGAGAGATTACATTTTGAGAATTCGACAGCTTTAGTAAGACTAGAAAAAAAATCATTTTTATCATTAAGTATATTAAATTTAAATCCATCTAATACTTTATTAATTCTTAACCTGTCATTGGTATGTCAAAGTTAAACCTGAAATACTACATGACATTTAGTTTTCTCAATGATTAACAAAACTTTTCTTGCTTTTTAGTATATTAGAAGAATTTTTTCATATGTCATCAATGAATATAACGATAAATGCTACTTATTCTTATCCATTATGGTTTTTTTTAAATGATTCATTTATGATTATTGGTAATATTGTTGGTATTGTTTTTGCATCTATTTTTATATTTACAATTATTCGTCTTGACCATCCATCTTATTCAATTTCAAATTTAATTGCGTGTAATACTTGCTTAGCCGTAGGATTAACCAGTACAATTATGTTAATAAATGCTTGTTATGCATTAAGAAGTGATTTTCGCGGAAACGGTTATGTAGATTCATTTTGTACTTTTCGTGGAACACTTTTGACTTTATTATATATATATATGTATACATCATTTTGTTTAAAAGCATTTAATCGACTTCGATGCATTGTTTATTATACAAATCCAATATTAACATCATATCGATGTTTATTCATTGTAATTTTATTTCAATGGTTATTAACAATATTATTATTTTTAGCAATCATATTAACAGATGGAATTGGCTATGATTGGGGATCACATATATGTTTCATACCAATAACAAAAACTTATCAATTTATATATATGAGTATGTATTTGAAAAAAAAAAATTTTCAGTTTTTTTTTTTTTAATTCATTTATATTTAATATAAAATCATATTTAGTGATTATTTATTATTTTGCTATGTTATTTATATCAAGTGCTTATATTTACATTCTTTATTATGTTTTACATCTACCATTATTAGAAAGATATCGTCGAAAACGTCAATTAGCACTTCTAAGACGAATTCTTGTTCTTCTTATAATGCTTGTTATACCCGGTTTGTTATCATCGTTTTTACTTGTTCGTTGGTTATTTTTTGGTACAATTCCATCTTATTCATTTAAAATAAGTACTTTATTTGACACATTAGGACATACTGGTGTAGTTATAACAATATTTGTATCGCATACAAAAATTCGTCGTCAATATTATCGACGAAAACATATTAAAATTAAAAAAGTAATGAAAAAAGTTCAGTTAGAAAATTGGGAATTAATTTCATTGAAAAATCAAAGAAATTCAAAACAATAAAAATTACATGTATTTAAATAATTATTCTTCAGAAAAACATAAAAGTTTTGTCTTGTTTTCATATGTTTTTCTTTTCTTGTTGTGTATATATATTTCTGAAAATAAATTAATAATATTATAAACATGTTAACTTCACATTAAATGTAACTTTTCTTTTCCTTCCTAGGATAAAAATAAGTAAGGTAATAATTAAATATACTTGCGTGAAAAAGTTATCAATCGAATATTCAGATGTATACGTCTAGTTAGATAACATCATTTTCTTTGAATTACATCCATCATGGATAGACTTGTTCACAAATTGATAAGTATAACTATGAATACTTGTCAGACAAATCAAGGATAGCAAAATATGCTTATGCGTAGGTTATATCATGTCATCAATCTTGTTAACTAATATAAAAAAAAGAGAAAATACATTGTCATCATTATATGATATTGATTGTTTTTTTTTTCGAGAATTATTTTCGATATAATATAACTTACATATGTTTAATAACAAGATTAATAATTTACTTCTAATATTTTGTTATTTATTATCATAATAACGAAAAAGAAATAGAAATCAGAACATTTTTACGTTTATATGATATCTTTACTTATCATGATAACGTTGCTTAATAGCTTGAAGGTATTTGATCGATGAATAATATAGCGAAATGCATAGGAAAAAAAACAAGGTGATAGATGTCTAATTTAATGAACGTTGGATAAAGTCAGGAAAAAAAAACCATTTTTCATACTCATCAGAGGCGTTTATGACAGGTGATCATTTGTATATTTAGGCATATTAATGCAAATGAAGAAACATGCTTCACTACTTCATCCACTTTCTATATTCTTGTATGCTAAACTAATATTGATATTTTTGCAGCTATATATATAGGCAAACATGTATTTGCATGTCGTTGTATTCTTGCTCTTTCGTGTTTAGACAAGTTCCAGTTCTTTTTTTTTTTTCTTTACTTCTTTTGTACATCAACATGATTAGTAACAAGTCTCTATCTATTTATTCCTTTTTTTTTTGTCTTCCTTGTTTTTTCTCCTTGATAATTGTCGTGTGAGTATAGCTTATCAACTGTAGAAGTTCTTCTTCTACATACATAGACAATGATAGTATAAGTATTAAGAAAAAAGCAGACAAACGACAAGCTAAGCGCACCCTTTCTTTTTTTATGTGTTGTCTTATTTTGCGAATACTTTGGATGATATTATAGATGCGCGACTTCCTCTCTCTCTCTCTTGCTGTATTTCTTTCTCTTTCTTATGTCGTCAAAATCCCCGTCTACACTTTATTTAATATCACTACATGTCATTTGTTGTATCATAATGGTAGTGATAATATTTGCGATGATGAGGATCAAAATGATTTGCTTCTTGTTATCAAATTTAATATAATCTATACACTCTTGATATACTAAAAGAAAACAAATTATTGTCGTCATAGAAAGATTTTGTAACCTGCTTGCAGGTGAGACATGTGCGTATTTCTTTTCAAACAACTGTATATACTTCTTCGCCTTTTTTTCTTTCGATTTTTATTCAATAGTTCTTTCTCTTTTAATTTCTCGTCATTATTATTTTCAACAAATAGAGATGCTGATTTTTAATCTAGAAGAAGTGAATAAAGTAAGAGAAAAAAGAAAGATTAAATATGTCTATCATTGTTATATAAATAGATTTTAGTCAAGAAAAAAAAAGTAAACTGAAAAAAATCTAAGAACAAAATATCATTTTAAATCTTCCTATTTTTAGTTTCTTTCATAATGATATTTGTGTTTTCCGCATCGAATGTATGTTTATAATAAGAAAGAAAAGAAAAAAAGAATTTGATTGAAATATTTTTTAGAGCTTCAATATTAAAATCGAATTCTTTTTTTTTTCTTTTTTTTTCATCTGATTTTTTTTCTTACTGACTATATAGTATTGAAAGGACACGTCTGTTGTGTTGTCAACAAAAACACATACCTATTTTATATACTGTTTTAGAGAATCATCAGCAGCATCTGTAATGCTCGTCGTCGTCGATGCTTTACCATGTTATTCGTCGTCCTCCAAATAATAATACAAATTTTTCAAATAAATCGACAAGTACCTATAAAAGTAGAACGCTGTTAAAATTAATGCCACGTTATCATTATTCAAGAATAGCTCCCCATAGTGCAACAACTAGTTCGGAATCATTTTTTCAACGTCAAAACTCAAATGGACAATCGTCAAAGCCTTTAGTTACAGCGACGACGACGAGCAATAACCATAATAATAATTATTCGTCAGGTCTTTTTAAATCGACATTCATTCCGCTTGTTACAAATACTCGAGCAATGACAGCACACAAGCGTGAATTTATTCAGATTCCAATCACACGAGAGGATGGAACATCAGTAACAAATAATTCTGTTCACTCTATACCAGTTACTTTTATCAGTGAAACAACTGCATTATCATCTACAACCAATGATAATAGTAGAAATACAAGTCCTAAACCACATTATACAAGTTAGTAATCATAAGATTTTGATGGACTCATCAATCATTTTTCTTGTCTTTTCTTTTTTATTATTAATTAATCTGTTTTCTTAAAAGATCTTTTACGGCCTAGCTCAAGATATTTTCAACATCATTCTAATAATAATAGTGAAGAATCAGAAACTACTGTGCCTCGTTTACCGTCTGTTTCACGTCGTTTTAATCTTGCAATACCAGTAATGACAACAACAACAGCAGCAGCAGCAACAACAACAGCAACAACAACAAATGATAATGATGATGATGATACAACCAAACAAAATATGTCACCATCAACTACTCGTCGAGTTCCTATTCGTTTTGCACCAACACCAAATGTTGCATCTATACCAACAAATAGTTCTCGTATTTCGAGTGCTATTCTTCGTTCATCACCATTATCAAATCAATTAAACAATCAGTTACAACGTCAAAAAACAGATTTAACAGATACAATACCATCATCTTCAGATCTAAATGGTATTGCATCAAATACATCACCTATACGTCGAGCTGAAGTCATGGCTCGTGAAGCCATTCAAGGTATTGTTCGTTTTCAACAACAACAACCGAGTAGTTCAATAATTGATAACAATAATAATATATTAATTCGATCTCCTGGATTATCACGTCGTGTTATTGTCAATTTAAAAAATAATCAATCCGTTTCACTTGATAGTCGTTTGTTATCGGCACATACGTTATCATCAACAAAACCACCATTAGTTCCTTCCTCTTCACGTCTAACACAACGAAATAATCTTTATCATATACCTGTTTTACATGAGTTTCAAATGCCATCGCATCCAACAACAATAGTAGCTGAAACTTCGCTTCATTTATCACAATCTCCTTCGACTAGTAATAGTAATAATAATAATTATAAAAATGAATTTCATATGGAAATTCCAGTTACAATTATTACTAGAGATAATCAGGAGAATCGTATACAACTAAATGATGGACGAGAAGATGGAATAATAAATTACGATCAAATGACGATCGTTACGGAACGTATACCATCAGCAAATATAAATTCAAGTCCAACGCTCAAGTCGATTTTGAAAAGATCTTCATCAAGAGAAACTGTCTCAAGAAAAAATGTTAGTTTTATGAATGCTTAATAGGTTTTATGCAGGCCTTTACAAAACAAACAAAAGAGAGCATACATATTTATTTTTTATTATACTTTTCTTTTTTTTTTTTTTTTCTTTCAATCAAAACTATTTTCGTTCTTATTTTTATTTCTTTTGTTTTGTGCTTTTTTTTTCTCTCTTGTTTTGATACACTAAAGATGCTGCATATTGTGTCTATTGAATAATAAGAAAAAAACATAAAGAGAACTGATAACATTATATATATATAAGATCAATGAGTACAGTTAACATTCCATTTTAGCTAAACGAAAGACATTTGTGAGTCTGTTGTGTGCATGTCGATCATTCGTCCGTATCTTTATTTCTTTACTGTTTCAAGTCTAAAAAGTACTGATGTTGATGCCGCTGTCCGTTGTGCTCTTCGATTACCAACTGATAAGAGTTAGTAAATGGTAGTTTCTTTTTTAAACTTGAATGTAGCATATACACACATTGTGCTTCTTTAATTGGAAGAAGTGCATGTGTTGTGAAAAGAATGAATATACAATCTGGCCAAAAGACAGACCTCATTCAGTCATTCGGGTAAGTTCGACTCTTTTCTTTCTCCCTTGATGATCGATGTATCGATAAGATAACGAACGACGACGTTGCAATTTCGCGGCGTCGTCGTCGGCAATGGCCAGAGAATGAGGGAGAGAGAGAGAGAGAAAACGTTTTTTATGGATATGTGCAAGGCTTATCTCTTCTCCGCGTGTAAGCGAATGGCAAAAAACATCACCAACATCGGCACGGTGATTTAACCTGTTCTCTCTCGTCTCTCTTTTTCTCGGTATATGTGCTGACTTCAATCACAGACTCACTTATCTCACCAGCGTAAGAAGAAACAGGTACTACTTAGAAAAAAGTTTTAATGTAAAATATTGATTTCTTCATTTATGCCTAAATAAATTATAGGTAATAGGTATATATATTTATATTTATAAATGTATATCGATAACATACATATTTATTCTTTCTTCCTTTTTACGTTTCTCAATTATTATCATCACATCACCAGTGCTCCTCAATTTAGTCAAAAAAATCAATATTATAAATCTAAATATGCTATTAATCAGATATGTATCCAAATGATGACAAGCCAAAAGATGCAAGAAAGTATTGAAGCAATATCTAACTATAATTCTGAATCACTCATTCGCATCTTACTTACTCAGTCAGTCTCGCTAGTTGGTCTTCTTATCAGTGCCTAATCTTTGTGCACGCCGCCTATCTACGTGCTCTCGCTCCCTCACACACTCTATGAAAGCGTATCTAAATATTATCTACAGTGAAATAAAGAGAGAGAGAGAGAAAGAAGAGTTGAAAGAGACGACTATGGTGATGACGGGACGGGACGTCAAAGATTAGAAGATCGAATTCTCTTTCTTCTCTTTTCGATATATATATATATATATTGAACTTTTTTTTTTCTTCTTCTCTATGTCTTCTCAATGTTCCGTAATGGTCAATTTGCGCTTATCGGTTAAGAGAAAAGAGCGCGCGCAAGAGAGAGAGAGAAATACGATTATCATCGATTAGATCGCATATATGTATATACATGTATGTGCATCCTTCTCGTTTGCTTTTTTCTTCTTCAGACATATACATATATGCATAGACACTCAATGGCCATGTCCCGTCGTAAGCAACTTCATCCAAAGTCATTGAAAGGTACATTCAAAAGAAAAAAAAAATTTTTTTTTCGTATTTTTTATATGATATTTTAAAGAAGGTGATGAAACAATGTTTGTTCTACCCGATGAATTGAAGTGCGATGAAGAAGTAAGTTGAATAAATGTAAACAAATCAAAGAAAAACAAATTTATTTTATATGTTCTTTTTTCTTTTTTTTTTGAAAATCATAGTCACATGATATTATTGCTCGAATTGATATTGAACAAGGACATCGTTTTGGTCCATATCCAGCTACTCTAGTTTCTTGTCAGCAACAACAATTGTCATCCGGTTCAGATTCAACGAATGTTAGTTGTATGATCATGCAAGTACGCTCTTATTTCACATTTTATGACAGAAAGATAAGGTTTACTCTCTTCCTCTTTCTCATTCAATCCTGCTGTCGTTGCATTCTTGGTGCCGCAAGATAAGACTCAACGACGGCATCATAGAAGGTTTCTCTGTTAGATTATATTTGTTGCTACCGTTTTTAGTCGAGTTATCTATCTCATCGGTTTGCTCTTATCATCGTCAAAGCACATATTCATGTTCGCTATGTGTGCGTGTGCATACAAAGAATTGAAAGATGGCTGATAGAACAACGACGATGAGGACATTGAAGAAATGAGAATGACACGAGCGATCTATGATAGCTCGTTGTTGTCGTTGTCTTATCGGCCATTCCAATCCGATGGTCGCGCGTGCGGGCACGCATGGAAGTATGGTTATCTTGAGTTTTTTTCTTTTTTTATATGTATGTGTCGAGAGATGATAGGATGGCAGTGACGAAAGAGGGAAAGAGAAAGAAAAGAAAGATTGGACTAATCTTATCTTTTTGAATGACCGAATATAAAAAAAAAAGATTAATGTGACAATTCATTTTTCTTCTCATACTTTCTTATTATAGATTGATAATGAAATTCTTGAACATCGAACACAATCTTTTCAATTACTTGATAATAAACATAATTGGCTAGCTAGATGTTCAACATCAAGTAATTCTTCATCGAATCTCGATATAAGTTTTCAAAGTAGTTAATCAATTTATTTTTCATATATTTTTTTTTTTAAAAGAAATAAAATTTATTTAGATGATCAAATATATGCAATTTTAACTCAATCTATAAAAACTGGTACACGTCTTTCTTCAAATATAATAATCCTTCCAAAATTAACTCATACTGAAGATTCTCAAGTAAAACAAGAACCAAAATTAAATATGAATAATAATAATAATGCTGATAATATTAAAGTAAAAGAAGAACCTATCGAATCCGAAGATGACCAACAACAAAATGATTCGTCTTCACCAAGTATTAAATCAGAATCATCTACCGGCAATACTAGTACATCAAAAACTAAAGAAGCAAAAAAACTTCATCGTAAATATTGCTGTTTTTTTTTTCAGTTTAATTCAAATTTAATGCTTTTTTTTTTTCTTAGCTCTTCTTTTTACATGTGATGATTGTGGCATTCGTTATAGTAATCGAAATACATTAGATGCTCATCGACAGCATTATTGTACCAAACGAGAAACTACAAAAAATCATTCAACAGGTAAATTGATAAAGATAACGTAATCTCTAACGAAAAAAAAAAGGTCATTGATTGCCATAAAAAAAAAAGAAGAAATGTTTTATAGATTCGACAATGGCTGTTAAAATAAAGGGCATGAAACGCAAACATATTGATATAAATGATTCATCACCATCACCAACAAAACGTTTATCATTATCATTAAATGATTCTTATTGTTCAGAATGTGATATTTTATTTTCAAAACCAGATAATCTTTTACAACATAAATTACATTATTGTGGCACAAAATCATCATCTTTACGTCAAATAAATGAAAATATATCAAGTTCATTTCGACCACCTATACCATTTGATCGTCCAATACAAATAGGACAATTTATATATGTGCCTGTACCAATTGTTTCATCACAGATTGAAAATAGTGATCGATCATTATCACCTGATAATAATAATAAACCACTTGATTTAAGTAAACCTAAAAAACAAATTGATGAAGATGAACAGAAAATAACAACGAATATATCAACTTCACCATTAGATTTAACTATTGAAAAATCAACAAATTTATTTAACATACTTAATAATACATCATCAACAATTAAAAAATCAACACATCATGTTCAACAACAAATATATGAATGTGATTACTGTTCAATACGTTTTAGTTCATTAAAAACTTTACATGCTCATCAAGAAAATTATTGTATTGAATATAGAAAACAAAAAAAAAATGGAAATAATAATTCATTAATAAATACATCTACAAATGAAACGAAAATACTAAATAATGATTCTAATAGGTAAGAATAAGCAGAAATTTATCATTGTATTCATATGAAAGACAATAGAAAAACAAATGAAAAACAAAAAACTTTATCTTGAAATTTGGCATTTCTTCAGAAGGAAGTACTTCTGCTTTCTATCCGAGATTTCTAGGAAGCAGCTGTACGAAGTATTACGAGACATTCAAGACAGACAAATCTCGATTAGTAGAGCAAAAGTTTTCATAGACTCAAAATTCTCAGATGCTTCCTTCAAGGAGATATGAAACTTGTACAGTCCGAAATTTCCACGTGCAAAATTCTATACTTCATTTCTTCGAACTGCAATTTTCTGAATGTGAATTAGGATCAAGTTAGGGTGCATGTTTTTCTCTCTCAGGCCAATGTACTTATAAAAAAAATTTGTACCCGATCAGATGTATCGCCTCAGAGAAAACTTCTTTGTGTTTTTGTTTAAAAATTGATTTTGAAAAAAAAAATACACAACAAATTTTCCTGTATCTATGAAGACGTTTTTCTTTGCCAACTTAAGTGATCGAAAACTGACCATGTTAGAGATCCATAATTTATGCTCTCAGCACTTGTAGAAATTATTATTAGAAGAATTTCATATACAAAGAATAATGACAACGCCGGTTTTTCTACTAGGAATTTCGAGAGTTAAGTTTAATAAAAACACTAATTAACAACAAAGAGTTCTCATTTATATGGCATTTGACAGAAGACAGTTCGAAGCTATATTAGCAATAAGAAATGAAAAATCACAAAATTTTGATTTTAACATCTGGATAGGAGAAGGTAGTCCTTTCAGAAGACAAGAATAGCAGAACTATTCCAGAAGTCATTCGAATGCATACTAAAACTCAAGCTAACGATTACGAATCACTTATTAATAGTTTCTGACGATTTTTGAATGATTTAGAATTGTTTGCTTGGGCTATGTTTTCTGTCATTCGATGCTTAAGAAGACATTATTTTTTTTTATAGACAGTC